GACCATTCCAATGGCTCCACGAGGTATAAGAGAGTGAACATGGTTAGTGGTTCCCCTCGGTAGGGCGAGATATTCTGCTGACATTCCCTGACAGCAAAGGTTCACGAGCACCGGCAAACTGAAGGCACTGCACCTTCGTAACCGTTGTGAGCCGAGACGCCGTGCTAAGGCTGATGCTCGTGCCATCGCTCGACCATTTCTGCGTCATCCTATCTCGAGCAGCCTTGTTGTTATTGTTGATTTGGGTGCCTGGGTCCAAGGATTTTATGTCACTCGCAAAGACATTCTCCCCCTTAGTGGCGGTTTTCTGAGCACCGTTCCCCTTCTTCATGACCAGCTAGCCTAGTGGGTACTGTATCGCACTCCCGCCGGGGAGCCTAGCTCGAACATGTCATTTGAAATCTCCCATGACACATGTACTGAATGTAGTGCAGTGTGAGACGGCTCGGAAGGTTAACAGCTCCCACTCGTGCTTTCATGGTCCAGAACTGCCAGTCAGCATTAGCTAGTTCAACAGCTCACACAACCAACCTCAGCAGCACAATTCTCGGCCTGCAGCAGAATAGTTGGTCATCTATATCCACCGTGAACCCCGCCGTTGCGGCGAGTGTAGTGTCGATGCTCTCCGCACAGACGGAGAATCTGCTATTTCATCTCGCCTAGTTTCCATGCAGCCCGTGAGGCGGACAATGTCGAGGTAGGTGTATCAGCGCACGGGAATCTACAGGTTATAGGAGTTCTCCAGCACTACTTGGGGATGCTGGTATGTTTAGAGTAAATGGATGGGACACCGTCCGCGAAATGCAGGACTTGGGACAGCGCAGATCTTAGTCGAAGGCGCTCAGCCGGCCGACGCCAGCGACAGGGTAGTTGCTATTATAATTCTGGTCACCACCAAAAAGGGTGATGACGCGTCCAGAACCACACCGCGACCCTCAATCTCGCAGGGTCTTGCCTCTCGTCTAGCTGCAGGTCGAGCGTCTGAAGTATGCTGGGGAATGAGGGAGATCATGTTGGATTTGTGTGGGTCATCAATTGCCTAGTTGCATTTTTAAGGTCGCTCCGTTATTATACCAGGCACACTTACGTGCCCGCCGTCCTCGCGCTTGGCTATCATCGGGTCCTATATACGCAATGAATCATATTGAGCGCGTAGTATGCCGCTATGTAGAAGAGGTGAGGGACAAGGGTGTGTACGATAACAAATTGTGGATCGCTTAGACTGATGTGGGCAGGATGGGGAGACAGGAATTCATCAACTGGTTGGGGCAAGATATACACGGCGGACTCGTCCTAATGAGAGATTGAGTATCGATATGTTCAGCCTGCTATCAGATAATAGCGACCTAACTGGGACTGTTGACTCGCAGAAGAGCAACACGATACTTCAGATCACGCGGGCGATGACGGATAAGAAACTCGAGGCTGGTTGAGTGCACGCTAAAGGTCATGCTCGTAGGCAATGACCTCCAGCAACTTCCACTCATGGCTGTCCGGCACCACGAAGATGCGAGACAGCGATACAAGCACGACTCTACTCTGACCTGCAAGATGAAAGTCCCAAGTGCGTGGTTGTGTCTTGTCACTGATTGATATGGTGTCGTGGTCTTGTCTGATGACATGCGACTTTCCATATAGATGATTGAAGTAGGTATTGCTATGTTCTAATCACTAAGACATATTATGCCACGGCAAACTTTATGCATTATGAGGCACTGAACGCGTTCATACACATGACTAAAGCAATAGGTTGTTCCAAGGGTTTCCGACCCGTCATTATGACTTGGGTTGTAGTAACGTTGTGCTGACAATCACTTTGCTAATTTATAATCTGGGATTCCGCTATTAGTGTCCCATCGCGGCTCCTCAAGGACCATTTGTTTCGCAAATGGGCATCCGTTGGTTGTGGCAATGCCACATGTGTGATGAGGTCTATTCACTAGCTGTCACACACCGATGTCTTCACGACGGACATCGCTTTTGTTTTAACAAGCATACTGGCGGCGGAGGTTGTCTGGACTATATTTGTGCCGACGGCAATCTCCGGCTACACTCCTCTCTGAAGTCTCATACAAACTGCTGGAAAGATTGTACCTATCCTTTCCAGTGTAAGAAAGATTCGAGACATAGATACCTCGCCGTAGAGTAAAGGCTTAGGGCCTACGATGGGGAGACCGAGAAAGTTCTAACACCTAGCTGATAATATACAAGGCAAGAGCTGTGAATGCTAAGGCTACTGTAGCTAATATAATTGATTCTACGACTCATATCACAACCCGGAGTCCCCTACAATAAACTTTATTATAGTTGCTTGGGCAATCTAGAATATTTATGTGGATCTATATGAAGCTATAGTTTAGCTGCGCCAGGTAACCCTTTGGGCATCTAAGCGGATCGGGCGTTCGCTTAGACGTGAGGGAGGTGGTGTAGGAGGTAAAGGTCTCTCGTTACTTTCTCCTTGGGTCTTAGTCTTTGTATCCGTCAACGACATTGTATATCAGCAGTATGTTCTCTCCAATAGTCCTATTTATAGGAGCACAATCCACTAGGGTGTTGTTGAGGTTATTATCATACAATAATCCTTTCGTACTTTCATAGACGTGATCTTCTATGACATAGAATTAGGTAATAATGAGGGCTATATTGCTACCTTGCTATTCAATCAGTCACATACTCTCGGAAACACTTCCGTACTATCTTATAGACTGGATACATTATTTCGTTCACTTGCTTTCTACACCCGTTCCGCCTGTTCAGACCTTCTTTTCCTTCTGGTCACCCACGTAACCAGGACTCAAATGGTATTTTCTCCTCATATAGATAGAATAACGTAACACGAGATTTCTCGTGATATAATATCCATCTTATCAAGCCTTCAGGATCCTATGCGTCACTTTGTATCCTATCGTACAAAATACATCCTAAAGGCACCCTGACAATCACTATGCGGTTTGGTACTATCCTTAGTGCCTTCGCTACGTTGGCTACCGCGTCTCATAAGGCTGCTACATTTACTGTTCTACGTTTCAATGGTCATAAGCCTCTAACGGAGGGGCGAATGGATCCAGTTGTTAGTCCCGGAGTTGCCTCGCACCACTACCATATGATCCAGGGTGGTTATGCCTTTGATCTTACTATTGAGGGAGACGATCTGCTCAGGAATTCTAAGTGTACCACTGCCAAAATTGCGCGTGACTTCAGTAATTACTGGGTTCCCCAACTCTTTTTCGCAAAGGATGGCAGCTTTCAAAAGGTAAGCATGTATTACATGAACGTCTATTACTTTTTCGACAAGACTCACGACGATCTTGTCCCTTTCCCACCAGGGTTAAAGATGCTCGTCGGCGACGCCAACAAACGAGACCCTCCTACGGGTTACAGCATCCAGCTCGATCCCAACATGCCTCACTTTAATAATATCCAGTTCACTTGTCCGGCCTCGAACTACAACGCCCCCGCTTACCCCCCGGACTCTGACGGGAGCCGGGCTGGCATCCCGGACCCTCAAAATCACGGCGCCGGAGTCGGTTTTCCTGTCAAGAAGTGTAATGGTTACGCCTCACCTCTCCGTCAGGATCTTCACTTTCCCTCCTGCTATAATCCTGCGTTCAGCCTTGATGATTACCGCAAGAACATGGAATGGCCAAAGGACGTTGGGAACGGCTACAAAGATTGCCCTGAGGGCCACATCCATGTCCCCCGTCTCTTTTTTGAGGTCTACTGGAACACACCCGAATTTGACGAGCAGTGGATTGAGGATGGTATGACACAGCCCTTCGTTTTTGCCAACGGGGATGTGACTGGCTTCAGCTCTCACGCCGACTTCATCTCAGGCTGGGACCCCGACACCCTTCAAGCCATCATAAATACCTGCAACACTGGCACCGCGGGCATGGACACTTGCCCGCTCATCCTGGGCGGTCTTAGTACCGACCAGAACTGCAACCTTGAGCCTCAGATTCTCGAGCCGTTTGACTTCTTCAATGCAGGAGTACATGAGAAGTTCAGTTCGCTGCCCAACAATGTCACACTCTCCGGTTGGAATGTCGGCAACCAAGCTGTGAACGATGATGCGTCAAGTGCTGCTCACGACAACAGCCAAGCCAGAAAAAGCAGCTCTGCTCTTCAGTTACCTAGCTCTCGCCAGTTTCCTGCCCATTCATCTGCACCTGTGGCCACCACTGCTCGAGAGCTCAGGTCTACTCTCCTCAAGCGAGTCCGACTTCCGCTCAGGATAGGTATGCGACAAAAGACTGTGGTATTGCTACCGTGACTGTCAAAAGTCCTGGTTACGCCCCTACTCCGGCTGCCCATCACCGCACTGCCTGAGGCGGCACCTATGCGCGGTTGATTCGGCGGCCAATAGGAAGCATCCAAGCCGCTCTACCCGAGTACTGAGCCGGTCTTATATAGGTACAGATCTTTTCATCTTTTCAATAAGTAGGAGGCGTGGGATGTTTCTATACTAAGGCAATTCGTGTATCGTCTCCCTGAATCTAAGAAAGATCATAGCTGTTAATGCTTTCGGCCAGACATACTTAGAACTGTTCTTGCTGGCGCAGGCACCGGGGTTTAGGCGCATGCAGGAATTGGTTTGTGCAACGGTTCTTGAACATTTTCTTTTTAATTAATGACGCCTGATATTACACCAAATCGTGCGACTGTAAGAACAGTTTTATAGATATTACTGAACATTTCTCTTTCTGATAACATTAATTAGGCGATAGAGTCTTGTCTGCGACGTCGCCTTTCCTCTGGTACCTTGTGCCTGGTCTGAGGTACAATGGGGGGCGCTTTATGTGAGCGTGAATTGTGCCCTGGTTTTCCGCACTCCCCGCAGTGGTATTCTCTCTTCTTCCTCCTCTGAGATCTAATCGCGATCCCTTTCTTTGGCGCTTCGATGACCCATCGTTGTGGGCTTTCAGTGTCCGCGTATGGTGTGGGTTTCGGGCAAAGATGATTGTGAATCTGAACCAGTTCTGGGAGAACTTTCCGCATGTCTAAAGTGTACTCGATTGCCCCTTTAAAAGTTTCGTCCTTCTCCCCAAGTATCGTTGTGGGGTCATTATCTCATAGTGCATGGGGGCGAGCTGAGATTCTTCCACCTCCAAGGCCTGAAGACTCGATTGTTTTGTTATTTCCTTATCCTTTAAGCCCGCCTCCACTAGAGCGAGACGAGACTCCAATTGCTCTTGGTTCTCTTCAAGTTTGCATATCTTTCTTTCATAGGTGGAGGATTGGACTTGCTTGCACCCAACACTATGTCGGCGAATCCGTTCACTATTCATGTTTGCGTACGATAATTCCTGTTGCCGGGTCCAAAAGTCCAACCATTCAAACATCTGCGCTTTCAGCGCGCGTATCTCGTCCGTCATCGGCTCAGTTGGCTGTATACACTTTGTGTCTGGCTGTTTAATGCCTCTCGTGATGAAGCTGTTTTGGAGGGCTTTTATGTCGCCGCGGATGGCCTTTAAGTCTTGCATGGTCTTTTCACACGAGACGCCACTCTTACCCAAGCCACCTTTGCTAGTGGACGTGCCCGTTGGTGCCTGCTCGACGCTATCGGGCCGGCGGATGGGCTTGTTCGTTGTCGAAACCTTCTGGTGCAATTCGGTTCTGAATCTGGTTACATCTTCTGATAGTTGTTGGCATTCTTTCCTGGCCTCGTTCAGTTGCGCCGACGTGGATGCATGCGCTTCATTAAGTTTCGAAAGCTCCTGCCTGACTTTCGAACATCGAGTTTTCTCTTCGTTATAAAGTTTGTCGAGTGTACCATATGCCGCATCCAGCTGTCCTAACATTTCGCGAGGGTTTGCTCTTTTCTCCAGGTTACACATACCAAGAGCCTCAATTTGCTTCGCGCGCTCCAAGGATGCATGAATATCCTCAATTAAGTCTTGGTGTGCCGAAGCGATATCAAGATATTTCGCAATCTCTACAGGGGTGCCGAATCTAGTTTGGAAGTCGGCACTCTGAACTTCTCGCCGTGTTTGGTGTAGCGCATCGCTTTCACTCTGCTCAGTAGGTTGAGATAGATCAGCCTTCCTTCGGGCTGCCTCTACGTTGTATTCTATCTCCAAGCTCCGCAATTCCCTTTCAAGGTTTGACTTCTTGGCCTGGAGTTCATGTAGTTCTGCTGACTGCCGTTCGAATCCGTGAGTCGCACCAGTATTAGTTCCGCGCGGGTATCCACTGCATTGTGTTGACGAATCTCGGAAATTTCTCACATGTCCGTCATGCCTCATTTGAAGCTCATCATATAGAGAAGCGAGCTTGCTAACCGTACTAGCGAGAGGACCCGCTAGCGTATACTGTTCTGTGTCTGCTTCGTTTACCTGGCAGGCCCACCGGTGACGAGCAAGAATGGACTGCAGGGAAGCCTCAAGCCCTCGAATAGTTGTCTGATGTTGCTCTTCTAGCTCAGCTCGCTCACTCACAACTCGATTGAGATATGCATTGACTGCTGCGGAGATATCTTGATCAGGTGAACAATTGACAGGAGCTGTGGACACCCGGACCCAAACTGCGCTCAGGCTTGCCTTTAGGGATTCACGTTCTTCATCGGCCAACTGCCGCTCACTTCTTAATCTATTTAACGCAACTTCATGTTGCTTTTTAATGTCCATAATATGGCACCTCTCAGTTTGCACTTCTTCGTATGCCTTTTGTAGGAGGTTGTTGATAGATGTGCACTCGGCCTTCGCCTTTTCTAATTCTTGGGACCTTTGTTCCAGTTGGCGCCTAAGCTCGACATTGGCCGGGCTATCTGCTGCATTATCATATTGTAATCGTGCTCCGCTAAGGGCCAGGGATGGTTCGATTCTCGGGGAGACAGCTCCTCCCAGTGAAACACTGTCTGAATTTTCAAATATAGAGCTCATAGGCTTGTTTCGAATCGATCGTTGCGGACTTCCGGGCGCTGGAATGTCTTTGAATACTGCCACGATCGCCAAGTCATTGTTCAGTCTCTCTTCTACTGAGCAAATGGTTCCTTTATCCTCTTTCTTGCCTTCTTCTTCTCCTTGTTCACTGACACTCTCCAGTGAGCCATCTTGGGAAGATTTGCCTCTTTCATCATCAACGGTCTGTTTCAACATAGAAGCTTCCACTAGTTCCATCAAGTGTGTCGGAAGATCTTGGGGCGACACTGGGTTCTCCGCCCCGTAGCAGGCGACCTCTCTGTTCCTCTTGTTGTATTCTGGCTGGCTCTGTCTCTCATTTCTGGCGTTTTTGAGACAGAATCCTCAAACATGAGATCTCTTGAGACGCCTGCAAGCTTTGAAAGCGACTCCTGATTCATTGTGGCATAGTCTTCTTCGAGCACGCCAGAACTTTCGAGCACTCCTGGGTCGTTGTGACCGATTGACAGCAAGCTTTGTCTGATCTCCCTCTGGAAGCCTGGTACATTATTATTATTGCTAGCTCTATCTATCGGATGACTCTTCGCAGCGTGCGGTAGTCTCACTCCGATATGCCCGTTGTAACTTTCCAGCTCGTAGCCCGTGACACGGGCATCACAATGCATCCGCACCTCATCTTTGCCGTGATTTTCGACACTAGTATTAGTGTCTTCTGTCCCACGTTGTGTAGTGAGTTCATTGACTTTATTGAAGTCAATGCTGGAATTCAAGCCAGGCAGAATAAGATTTTCCATTCGTGGATCGAGCGGGACCAGGAAGCCGGTTTGTCCTACACAACGATCTTCATAGGAATCAAGGTTCATTTCGGTGCTCTGAAGCTGTTGGGTCAGCTCGGGGGGCCGCTCGATGCTTTGTTCAGTGCGCGACCTGGTGGCCTGCGGAGTATAGTTCCCACCCCGTTTCACGCTCTTTTTCGGCACTATAGGTGCTTCCATCAGGTCGTGAGATGGTGATGGGGCATCTTTTACGTCCACCATCGCTTCCTCGGTTGAGCTATTTTGGACTTGTGAGTTTCGTACAAGACAATCTCTGAGTGGGAATTTGGCCGGATTAGGATTGCCAATCTCTTTAAGTCTATCGGAGGCCTCGGAGACAGTTTTCGTACTATCTTGTTGGGGGACCATGATTTCAGGAATCGGGCTTCCACGGGTTTCGCGCTTCTCTTGCAGTGGCTCCGGCCTAAGCGAATTGACAACTTCTGTCGAGGGCTGTACCATGCCATACTGCTGCTCATCTATGAGGTCCATTAAAGATGATATTACAGGATCCCTCATCGTCAAGTTCACTCATAGCGCTTCCGCCATCTTGCGAGCAGTTGACCTCGCACCGTTAATTCGGGAGAGAGCTTTGAACCTGCCCCGCAGGAGTATTTCATGGGCTCGAATATAGGAGCCGTTGGAGGACACTGAGTCATGCATGACATGACAGGTAAGCGTCAATTACGCCACTTAGTTCGTAAGACTGGTGGAGATCTGGTCAGTACCTCCTTGATAAGAAAGCCGCCGTGCCGACAGCGGTCCTTCCAATAGCTCGATTGCACCTTCATCGTCCTTTAGATCTGCGTCTTATCTTCAAACGGAGTAGCAATACATAGCTTTGTCCCTCTTTGGAATTGCATCCTTAATGATTGCGCCGTGACTCTAATACTTATTGACGCGGTACTCCAAACCGTAGGTCCCAAGGACCCGCTACTTTAATGCCTTGGGAAGATGCCAACTCATATGTGCACCCTGGTGAAGTCCCTGGTAGAATCTGTTATATCATACTGCTGCTTCTGTTCAAGGCTCCTGCGTGGTGCTCTACCATAGTAGTATAATTCCGTTTAGACCCACCACGCGTTAATATACGTATGGTCTTCTCGTCGCGTAAAAGGGCCGAAAATCAGAGTTTGTAAGCCTGCGCAAACAAACCAGTCCATATTAAATCGTCCACCATTATAAGCCCTTGGAAATATCTGGCAGAATCACTATAAATATCACAGATACAGTGTCTCTTAGGACTCATGGTACTAACCTCTGTTTACACGCTCCTGTACGTGTTAAATGAATAAGTCAAGATGCCTAATATCGAGTTTGCCGAGGCACTGTGGGTCTTTTCGTCCTATGCAGGCGTCTTTCTCTTGCACACCTTTCGTCGATCGGTTCCAGTCACGAAGCCGAGCTTCAGGTTGCAAAAGTACGTCCTTGTATTATGTCATCTGAGTATACCAGTCATGGAGATCTGCAGATACCATCTGAGAGCCTTGCATGGTACCCCGGGCCCTTCTGGCGGCGATTTCTTACTATGCGTACTACATTCCTTTACAGCATTTGCCCTGACTTCAAGGTTGAGGGTCGGAGACCGGTCAATCGCTAGGCCAACGTATCAGACGATCACCACGATGCGCTTCTGCCTCTCCGCAGCTGCATACCTAACCGGTGATCCGTTCCTCTACCGAGCATCGATACGCGTCATTAACGGGTTCGTCTACCCGCGCATCGGGATCAAGCTGTTGAACCAAATGAGAATCCTCCCATCCTACTCTGCAGTCTATACCGCGTCCAACTTTGTAGCGTCCATGCTATCGATACACGAAACTCAGCTCATCTTTGGGCCGCACGCATACCTCGCTATCTTTGCTGCCATCGTTGTCCTCAATCGATATGTTGCAGAACAAGTACAAAAGCCGTGAGTTTCTCTTCTTCTGAAGCTGCGCAAGTCTGTCATGAACTAACAGGCGAGATAGGACTCTGCCCACGTCCCCAATGATACATCTGTGGAAAGTTCTGGCCTTAGCTGGGTTTACTGAACTACCGCCACGAAAGGCTCCGGGCTTTGAAGTGGTTGCACACACCTCGAGCTCGCCCATCAGCTGAATGGCACGCAAGGCGGCCTTCCTGCTCTGAGCTGGGGATGTCGCTCAAAAATCTCAGTCAAATATTTGGTTGTGCTTGAGCTCACTAAGTTCTTCGCGTGAGCGTTGAGTATTCCACTTCAGCGAGCAGTGGAGCAATATTGCCCGGCCCCAAACAGTGCCGAGGCTTCCGACCACACTTGACGACACCGTCGACCTGGTCTTCTTATCAAGTCTTGACTCCGTTCGTAATATTCTCCAAGGGAGTTATATGCTGCAGTATGAATCTCCACGCAGAGATCAGTACATCGTGTGTATTTTTCTCAGTACTAGTGGTCCTTGACGGGCCATCATGAGCATGAAAGGCCTGAGTGGGTACCAACTGTTTGAGCTCTACACGTGCTATGGTCCGATGTCGGCGCTACTTGTAGGGTAGTCCATGTCCTATTGTAGGTATGATACTCCAGGCAGCGGGTACAGCCTGAACGGTTGGGCAAAGAACAACCAAGACAAACATACCTGGGAAGTGGCACACCGTGTACGTGACGATGTTTCATCCATTGTTTGTGACAGAAGCCCGAAATGGCGGGGAGAAGTGGCATAAAGAACCCCATTGTCGCATTCCCGCGCCGCTGGCTTTCTGACTATCGTGCGACTGACACTTATCCAGCATGGAGAGGTGCTATAACCTGCTGAACAGAGTGACAAGCTTATGCTTCGACAAGCCAGAATATCGTCTTTGTGTCAGAGAGTTATCTCGCAGAAAACTGTATGTAACCTACTCGTACTCGGAAGCCGAAGGGTATCCACTGACTTAGCAGGGCAAACCACACGTGGCTTGCTCAGAGGCTTGGACTTAGCCAGGCCGAAACATTGAGAATTTGTGCCGCCTTAAAGGAGCACTACATCATTCAAAGGTCTGGCTCACCGCATCGTATCTCAGTGATAGGCTTACAGTCTGGCCATAGTCACGATCACCCCATCCACGGAACTTACTTCTATGTCGACTACTGTGTGTTCCTTGCCGCTGTTACCCATAGGATTGATGTAATGGACAAGGTCCTGAATAGTCATATCGAGGAAGAAGATCGACTTATGTGGCATTGTAGCATTTGCAATACAGACTGGACGCAGCTGGAGGTCCTCGAGCGCACTTTCGCAGCTACATTCCGGTGCCCAACGATGGTCTGTCGGTCACCTCTACAAAGAATACACCATACAAGCGAGGTCACCCGTTGTCGGTGGAACGAGGAGTTAACTAGCTTAAAGGAGGAGGTGCGCGGGCTGACGTCAGAAATCCCCCCAAGACTAGCACAATCTGACATCATCTCTATGATTGATGAGAACAGTCGATACCCCTTACATGGTAATACCTGATTAGAGGAAGCCCTGTAGAGAGTGCTCTCAGTGCAATTCTCGTCAGGATGTTATCGTGTAACATAATAGTAGCATACGTATTTAGGTAACCTTTCTTCCACGTAGTATAAGAATGGTTTCTCGGGGCCTTTGCTTTTGGTCTAATGATCCGACGTTTGGTGTTTCTGCTTAGTTGGCTGGCTTCTGTGCATGCATCGCTTTCCCCAAAAAGGCATGCCCATGAATGCCTACCGCAATATCTGTGGGCTGGTCAAGAGAATTCCATCCCCGGCCCGAAAGATGCTGATTGCCATGCGGCAGCAATCTCATTCAGCAATAACAAAACTGTATTACTCGACGTGGAAAACTTCGGTTCCTGTAGTAACGAGCCTGAGCAAAAGCTGTCTCTATTCCAGAATACGACGTTGGGTCCGTACACGCTGACCTGGCTCTGCAACGGCGAGTCACTTTGCATTAACGGAACAATCCAAGGAAAGGTGGAAGGTTACGATGTCGACGAAAATAGCATTGTGCAATATTGTCATGCATACGCAAACAACTCAACGTGGCACGGGCCAAACTCTCTCCCCCAGAGCACCTTCTCCAGGTCAGCCCTGCAATACCCGCCCACGGATCCCACGCCAATAGGATCCTCGCATAGCATCCCAGGTCTGCCGGCTTCTAGCACCGCTAATTCACCATCGACTCCAAGGCCGCAGTACACCAGTGCTATGCCCCCGCAACCGCAATCCTCTGACAGCTATCCGGCCCTGCCGACCCATGCGACTAATTCACTGCCAAACCCGACGCAGCCTTACGGCACGACGATGCTCACACAACCACAGCCCTCGCACAGCTCCCCGGCCATGCCACTATCAAGCGGGCAACCAAACGAAGGGGGGCTACCAAATCCGACTACAGCAAGAACACCAACAGCAACCAAACCTTGGACGCCTCCTGACCAGACATCCACGTCAGTGGCGTCAGAGCACCAGACGAGCTCTGGGTCTCCGTCGCACTCTTCTCTCGCAGACATCTTTGCGCCCATTCTGGGAGGAGCTGCCTCGACGACATCTGGAATAGGGGCTGGTTTCATGCCAACTGTAGCAGCCAGCGTCGCAGCGCCGTGTCACTGCACGTGCGCATAGCGCTGAGGGTCATGTTGGCTTTATCAATATGTAAGACTATCGGTGAATGCACAAATCTGGACGTAATTTAGAGTACTGTTGTAGAAATAGGTAGAATACAATGGCTTTTAAGGCCGCCACGGGGCGATTAGGGTGACATGCAGCCAACATGCTATTGACTGGATTCAGAGAATCCTTCTGGCGCCCTAAACCAGAATTGATTAAGCAAAACACTGTCACCTACTACTAAAACATATATGCCGCGAGTTGAAACGATCCAAAAGGAAAGTCAATCATCTTTTTTTCAAACGACGTATTGGTCGGATTACCGGTCTCTTGCGAGGCCGACATCGGGGGCACCACCATTTGTCAGGCAGCTCCTCCTTCTCCCTTGTGCCAAAATTGCACATTGTATGCATCCATGTCCGACAGCCTGAGCATTCGATGACGGCCTCGCCAAAGTCGATCTGCGAGACGGGCTTGACGGGTAATGGACACTCACTACAGTCGAGTATTTCCTGCTTGTCGCTCTCAAACCTTCCTTTGGCCTTGTTCCTTTGTGGCTGTATCCTCGTTTTCTTCCTTGGTATTGGTGTTTCCTCTTCATGCCTCTTGCGTTTGCGCGACTGTGGGCCGTCGGTGGTATCCACTTTCGGGCTTGCACTTCTCGCAACCTTGGTCGACCTCTCTATTGTCGATATTGCCTGATGGGGCTCATTATCTTGTGTTGACTTGGGAGTCAGAGCAGGTTCTCTCTCGCCAGCATAATGAAGTTTCGCCAGAGAATCGAATCGCTCTCCAATGTTGGACAACTGCTCCCAGACCTCAGAACGTATGGATTCAGCCTGTGTGCCATTCAAGACAACAGCCTCGCCCAACGAGACAAGCTTCTGTGTGATAGAGGCTTGGGACGTCACAGTGGTCTGCAAATGCCCATGCATCTTCTCGATGAGGCCTGTTATTTCGGCCTGTCTTGCCTCATTCATCGAATAGCTGGCCATCAGCCTGTTGTCCATCGTGGAGATGATCTGTTGCTGATGCTCTTCCAAGTGTCGATTTCGTCGCATCATATCTTCGGTGATGCTCTGTATGGATTGTACAGCCGTCTCGATTTTGATCTGAGTCTCCTTTAGCTCTGCTTGCACGCAGCCTCGTAGGCTCGGATCTTCAAGCCAGGCATTTGTCGCGTCAGCTGCCGCTTGTGCAGCAGTCTTTTTGACATAGGTTTCGCCGTGCTTGACGATCCATGTGAGACATTTTGCGAATTCCTCTTTCACAACACTTGTGACTATGGCGTGGAACTCCTCCTGCGGCTTGGGACGACGTGTGTGCCCTCGACTATATTCCATCTTCTGAACGTATCAAACAAGGTCGAAGGTCGAAGCAAACGTAAGCACAGCTATCTTGCATGTTACCATGAGTTTCTCAATCGAGGCAGAACGTGGCCGTTGATGATTTATCTGAGGCCCAAGCAGGCACAGAGTTGGGACAGTTTCAGACCAGCGAGACGTAAATCACAACACCCACAAACAAACCTCCAAAACATCCACAAACAAACACGGACAAACACGGACAAACAAACACAAACACAGACAAACACAGACAAACAAACACAAACCGACATCATTCAGAACCATACATTGACCCGCAGATGCTGATGACTTGGTGGAATTGTCAAGGTTGGACCGGGATTCCGCCAAAAGGGTGAATCTGGTATGTACACGCCAGCACGTGCGTATGGAGGCGCAACTCCCAATTATGCACATTGGGATAGCTACATAGTAGAAGATCAAACCTAGAACATCCTGGCTAGTACAGTAGTGGACACCATCCCCACTCTATAAAGACTCCGGTTGTATGGTATAAGAAACAAACGGACACGATCCCAAGCAGCAATTTGCTGACTCATCATGGACAGGCTTCTCAGTCTTGCCAACAGTGCTTGCCATGCTATACTCATTCTTCCGAACTTGTGTCCTCAGTCTGAAATGGACCACCAGTTCGTCAGCACCAGGCGTAGAGCCGACTTACGGAATCGTCCCGATAGGATCAACGCCGACAATTTTCCACTTGTTCTCATGGGTACAGAAGCCCCACCCTGTCAAGTGCTTGAGGGGGCCGCTGACGCACGGACCCCAGACAGACCTGGGAAGCCCGGACAAGAAATTGGGGGTTTGTTCAGTAGCATGGCCCCCTACACGGTCTACCTTATCCCACAAACCCATTCCCCATATGTTCGTCCAGGCGGACCCACTAGGATAATCTCGACGACGGGCCAACCGCCCGCTCCAGACCTCTGCCCTCAGATGGGACTCCCGAGCATGCCGCGCGTGCATCGGTATGGCTACCCTGTGCAGTGCCTAGCCAGGATCAATTCACTAATGATTCATGAGTGCGGACAGGTCCAAAGGAGCCTTGAGGAATCTCGACTCTGGTTGAATGGGGGTTTGTGCTGCCCTGTCAGAGTGGGGGTTTGTGTGACGCGACGATTCCACCTGCCTGCGGCATGGGAAAGGGGACTCGCGCACCATCCTGGGGTGCTGAGTCCACAAACAAACCCCCTCGCTTGGCGGAATTGATGCACTGCAAAAAGCCGGAGGCACAGCCCAGCCGCCAAGCCGCCTTCCCGGCTGATTCCATTGGCACTGAGCCGGGCCTAGGCTGGAATCGTTCCCCTTTCCGTTCCGAGCTTGCAGGGTGTGCCTTGCATGGGTTATGCACGAGCTGCGTCCAGTCATGCATTCGGCTGGCGTGGTGGGGCATTGATTGCCTCCATAAAAGCGGCTGTCGTTGTCCGACACTGATGATTTGCCACGCGCAAATGCTGGTCAAGCGAGGGCTGGGCGGCTGATGCAGCTCAGCACCACCAAGATGTCGAGCTTGTGCGCCTTCCTCTCACCATTTACCCCACATGTAGGAACACTCTAGCTCTAGCAGGGACGCTCCAGCCTTGTCTGAACCAGTGGAAAAGACGATACTTTCGCCAGCATGTGTAGCCGTCCAAGAGTGCACCACATTGAGCAGTCAAGCTGCTGCACCTCGTGCGCAGACAGCACGGGACAAAGCAAGCCGCTGCGACAGGCTGCACCTTGCTGACAGTCTCACGCTGAACTGGTGTGAAGCGGCAGGGAGGTGGGCATGTACCCTGGAAAACGGAGGAAGCACGCTAACGACAAGCGTGGATTACCATAGTCTACGTTTGGCATTCGGTTCCTGGGCGAACATTTTGTGTGAATTGCTTCGTTTGGACTAGCTGCCTGTCTATTGTCGTTATTGGCTTGTACGCCTGCTGGCCTCACTGCTTCACCCCTAGGGCCACTGATGTGGATGGCCAGAGCCCGTGTAGACCGAGCTCGTGGGTCCCTGATTGCCAGCAGGAGCAGAGTAGAATGCCACCTCCTGATCAGTCTGGACGCTCACTACTTCCTGATCCCCAAGCTTGCAAGTTGAGAGGGAATGAGGGGTGTACATATCTCCCCGGTCTTCGCTGCCGTCATAGAGGACCAAGGATCCCGCATTTCCAGCAGGCACGTAGTAAACCTCGGGATGAATCTGGAGTGCGGTCACCCGCTGATCGTGAAGGTTGGAAGTTGGGAAGGCATGAAGAGCGTGCACGTCTCCCCAGTCCCCGCTGCTGGCACAGAGGCTCGAAAATCCCGGATTGCCAGCAGGAGCGCAGTAAAGTGCCTGATCTGCCGCTCGCTGATATTCTTCCTCGTAAGTTATGGAGGAACGAGGGGTGTGCACGTCTCCCCAGTCCACGCTGCTGGCACAGCAGCTCGAAAATCCCGGATTGCCAGCAGGAACACGGGAAAATTCCTGATCAGTCAGCAGTGCTGGCGGCCACTGATGAGCAAGGTTGGAAGTGGACGAAGAATGAGGGGTGTGCACGTCTCCCCAATCTTCGCTGCTGGCACAGAGGCTCGAGGATTCCTGATTGTCAGCAGGAACGCAGTAAAGTGCTTGATCTGCCGCTCGCTGATCTTCATCGTCGTAAGTCATGGAGGAATGAGGGGTGTGCACGTCTCCGCAGACTTCGCTGGTCAACGGCTCGACATGGGCGCCAGGATCGTGCCAATCGTGGCAGATAAATTGTGCTGGGTCGTTAGGTTGCAGCGCAAGCGGCGGGGGCGCTTGAGTCTGGGGAGATGCTGGCGCTGGCGCTTCGAGTGGTGTCTGCGCACGTAACCTAGCCTGGTGCACTTTGAGCCTGGCTTTCAACAGCGCAAACTCCTTGCAACCTTCTGCATGCCACCATAATCCTCGTCTGCTTTCGTACTTTAAGCACTGGTGGACGTCAGCAGACTGTTCCTGTTCTCAGGGATGCGCGCGATGTCATTACCTTGGCCGTACTAAGTAGACCGCTCAACCATCGCCCCCGGGCTACTTGGTCTCTCGGGTCCTTGGTGAGCTTGTCAAACCAAACCCGCAAATCGAAGTAGGACGCCGCAGTGCCCTCTGGGAGCTTCGTCCCGCACTCGCCCACCGCCCATTCCAAAAACTCGTGGCCAGTAAGCTCCAGCTGGGTCTCTTCGTGCCTGGCTGGGGGTCTCTTGTGAGTCGTCTTTTTGTGGGGCGTGGATTTCTTCGTTCTTGCTCGTGCCATCTTTTGCCTGGGTTGATTTGCTCAAATGCGGCTTCAATTCATCCAATCTACCTAGTCATTCTGAACTCGATGGCGGTTGCCCGCGCTCGCGCAGATTTTATAGCCATGTCCAGACTCGAGTCTGGCAGACTTGCAATCTCTCACGAATAGCTGTGACGAATTTGCCCTGTCTTGCAGCATGGGCGAACCAGACTGTCGGGACCAATGTACAGCCAACAGCATAGATATGGCATGGGATCGGACCGGCTGAGCTCATGATGTTTGTCCTCGGGGGTGGATCCAGACATGTTGGCAGCTGCGGCCGCCACCATGTGGTGGAGGAAATGGATGCCGCCCTGCCTCGATCCTCGAGTCCAGTCTGCAAAGCTGTGAAGCCAACATTACACAAACCTCAAGCGCTGCATAGTATGTTGTCGGCGCCTTCTGACAATAATGGGTGCTTGGAATGCTCGCTGCTCCCTCACGAATGCAATCGCTCCTGTGCGCTACGACCTTGTGCTACGGCTAGCCTCCGGGTGGCAGGTAGATGCTGTACCATTTGAGCCCGGCGGGTGTCACGTGATGGTCTTGTCCTGTGCCCAGGCTTCTCCCATTGCAACTCTACAAAGAATCCCTGCTGCCCCGGGCATTAGATGTTTGTGGAGCCGGTTTGTTTGTTCGCCGGTAGAGGCGGCAGGGGCGGCATTCGTGTCGGCATCATGACGCGCGCGCTCGTCCGCCGGCGTGGACGACTCACCCAGGACTTGTCAAGTGCCACTATGGCAGGCAGGCTGAGCCGTGCCTGACTGACACAGCTCCGCCATATAGGCGAGAGATACCGCGATTGTCGGGACTCCCCGGGGGGGGAGACGGAGTGTCGCGTGGTACTCATTTCGTGAAGAGTTTCCGTGGAAGAGTTTCTGTGGAAGATTTTCAGTGGCGTCCGTAATTGAGGCTTGGCAGGTGGGGCCACTCGCTACCAGCATGCTGGTGCCCATTGTAGCCAAGACCACAACAGGGTAAACAAAACTGCATTCTCCAAGTCAGGCTGTGCCCCACCCAGCAAAGTCATGAACCCTCGCTGGATGCCGGGCTGAGGGAGCTACGGACCCGGACGAACGCCTGCTTACATGCGGACGAAGGCCGGTTCGTGTGTCGTCGGTGTCGTCAAAGGCACCGGCCATGTGGGGCCGTGTCGAAGAAAGCCCGAGGCTGCAAGGCTTCGGGTTTGTCCCTCCACGTCTGAGCAAGGATTTCATACCTGCGGCCAAGACAATCACACACCGTGCCACACACAACAAGGGTTGAGACTGGGCCGAATGCGGAAGGTCTGTTGGGCGGGAGTGGTGAAAACCGAGGAAGCAGTCGAGGCATTATCGTGTGATGCCCAGCCCGGGTTTGTGGGGCCAAGGCATTGTGTCCTGTCGCAGCAACCCCGGACACCTCCCTCAAACCAATCGCCGATCGTCGGGCGCTACATCGGTACATTGGTCCACAAACCCGCGTCACATCCTCCCCTTGCTGTGCCTGTCACACAGCACCGCCTTGTCTCAGTCATGCAGGCAGACATTATCTCAAGCTCTAAGCGCGAAATTGGCCTGGGCGTGCGCGCGAGGTGAATCGTGGGACCGCCTGCTGTTTCATGCTCCTTGCTCCGACGGAACGGCGCAAGATGTGGCTGCAGGCCAGCGGTTTGTCCTTTCTCAAAACCTCTGGAGAACTGCGCAGGATGGGATGAAGCGTCTCCTGCTCGACAATGCTAGTTTCCGTAATTGACTAGTCGGCGGTTGTAGCGACGTTGGTCCTGATCAGATGGGGCATCTGGGTCGTAGTCTCGCGTTCGATTCGAGCAGCCAGAACGATCACGTCTTTGGTAGGGCCAGTCGTATTCGGGGTAGTATGGCTGCTCGATGCCCCTTTTTCGTTCAGCGCTTCCATAAGAGCCTCCATAACGGCCCCGGGCCCTCCAGGAAAAGCGATCTCGGTGACTTGAGCGTCCGCGAGAATCAGCACGCTTGCTGTTGCTTGCCACGCTGCGACCGTCGTCTGTGTATCTTTCTGTGCACGGCCCCTGCGTTTCGTGCTCTGTCGTGGGTGTTTGCGGGCTCGGTTTGTCCGAACGCTGGAGTCGCGGCCCAGCAGACCCCACTCGCTCGAGGGGCTTAATCTCTGACTGCAGCTCCGGGCCCAGCTCCGGTTCCGACTCCATGCCCTGGTTGGCTCGGCTCACTTGCCCCTGCATCTCATACAAGAACCTATCGCTGCCTATCTTATCGATTAGCAGCTGCCGATGGAAGATTGCGTAGGGACCCGTAGAGGAGAAATTCTTACAGGTGGGACATTGCACTTCAATCGAGGTCGCGGTGACAGTCGTTGACTCTTCCATAGTGTACTGGCTTTGTTCGCTGGATTGCAACCAAGGTGAGCTTCGTATAGCCAGCAACTATTCTTTCAAAACTACCAAGTCCAAAGGACGTGCAGGAGCGTGGAATATAATATAGGAGTCAATCGCCTCGTTGACGACCTCACAAACACGCTTGTGGATACGCTCACAAACACATCCCCATACCCAAGTAGGTACCCACACACAACAAAAAACACACCAGTCTTGGCGTCCTAAAGACAAAATGTTGCAATTGTGGGGGAAGGTGGGGCCAAGGACTGGTAGGACACATCCTCATTAATGACAGGTGTTTATGTCACGCGATTATGGGAATACAAGTAATGAAAGCCTGGCATAAGCGTCTAGCTAGCGGCATCTATATACTTGTGTCGCCGGGGCATTTCCATTCCAGGACTTCTTTATGCCAAAACAGGCCCATTTCAAGGATGACAAAGCACCATACACTAGCCTCCATTGCGACCGCTGTTCTGTTGAGCGCTGTTCAAGTGGTGTGCGAGCCTCCGGCCTCTTGCCAAAGCCAGCCTGGCTCGCACACCACTTCTGATAACACCTCCGATGTGATAGTGACAATTACGATCACAGACACAATTCGCACGACGACCACAGAATATGCAGTTTCACAGAGCCTGGCACTGCCAGGTCAATACACTACTTCACATAGTATCTTGACATCTGCAACCCTCACTACATCAAGGTCCACGAGTCATGATGGAAGTGTCCAGCCGGACATCGGTACAGGACCCACCTCAACCACTGTGCCTGGCCCCTCGACTGCAGGAATAACGGATGGTGACTCCCATGTACACGATTCGGCAACAACTTCTTCTGTGCCTTCGCCAGAGTCTGCCACTAGTCCCGTCGTTACCCCCACCTGCACGCTGAAGATTACTCAGAAAAAATATTCCGGGTCCTCAGATAAGGTAACTGTTGAATATACGCTTGAAAATGGTAGAGGCGGCTCGTCGACTGGCTCCTTTGACGAGCCGTGGGGTGGGGAAGGAGCCTTAGCCACGTCCGATACAGGACTGTCGAGTTCTTTGCATATCAAGCTATCTGAGAACGTGAGCCCTGATGTCCCAGAGCCGGAATGCGATCTTCCTGGCGGACACGAACCGCTGAAGAGGCGCTGCCCGCATTTATGGATTAATTATCTCGTTGAATTTCGCTATGGCGATCTCACCTGGAATAGCGAGTCCATGGAAGACCCTCCGACTGCACCACAATGTCATCATGACGGCTGGAAGCTATCGTTGCCGTATCACCGGAACATGGAGTGCACATTCATGTGCTGAGCATGCAGTCTCGGGACAACTATGACGCCATCTCCCGACCACCCCTCTTCATGCTTCTCCCCTTCCAAAGACTCCTTCATAAGTATAGACGCATAGTACCCTATAGTTGCGACAATAGATCTCTTTTGTAGTCGCGTGAAGCTCGTCTCCAAAAGCTCGTGCTTTGACTAGATGGGCTTTCTTTTCTGACACATAGACTGATGTCACATTTGTCCCTTCGTGCTGTTTGGGACATACCCTTTCCGACACCCCGCTCTTAAACGGCGCGATCCGAAGTGAGTCAGCGGGGTTTCCCTCAAAGTCCAAGTCCTGGAGCAACCGAGGCGGCGTCCACGTGTCACAAACCAGGGCACTAAGCAGCCGGGACAGGCTATTGTGCGCAACGGGGCATCGGGGGTCCACTTGCTATCGAGTAGTGACATCCCTGCGCTGCCCGGACTTGCTCGGCATCAATGATGATCCGTGGGGCTTCTCAGGGCTGGTCAGTAGCATGAAAACATGTGGGCCATGCGGTTTGTGGGTAGGTTAGGTGTGTGGGTGGGTGTGTGGGCCGGTGTGTGGGTCGGGATCACAAACAAACTCAAACAAACCCTGACAAACCCGAACAAACACAAGCATACCCAGACAGCCCCGCGCTCGCCTCAGGTCGCCTGCTAACCCCGGTTGAAGTCGCACTGCAGTGATATTCGTAGGCAGATTCTGATGGCCCACGATAAAGGAGCAGAGAAGGGAGGCGTAACGATAAGCGGTCCTTGCCAGCAGCGAAGAAAACATACAAGAAGAGTTCTTTGTTACAATCATGCGCAAACAGCCCATGCATGCCACACTTCTTACTGTCATCGCCGATACCTGGCTTGTGCAATACGCGGTACTCGAAGAGAAACAGCCCACCCCCCCACGTTCCCCTCCGAACCGATGGCAGACACGACCGTTGAAGAAGTCAAAGACGTCATCTATGTAAATACAGTCTCACGAGCAAGCGACGATCTCCGGCCAGAAGATGTCTACAACGGAGCATTAGCTCGGAGAAAAGGCCCATTATGTCACCCACACATAACTCGCTTGAAGAGGGAAGAGCAGCGACAATCACCACAAAGAGGATCCAGCCAGAAAGACGGCGGTTCCCACGTGCCCAGGCGTAGAGATACGAAAGCCACTACGCGCCAGAGGGACATGAAGCGTCAGCTCCTACGGCGGTCCGGTCTTGCCCTGTCGCTCAATACGCCGACTACATCGTTGCCAATGCGCTCATCGTCGACTCCCAAGGGCAAGGATGCCCATCATCCAGCACTTCGTGAAGATGGCGGCAGCAACATCACCAGTGCATGCCATCTCAGCTATGCTAATGACCCGCAAAGCTGCCAGGGAGGGCGATCATTACTTCACGGGCCGGCGTGCATTGCCACAGACTTCCGAGCGTCCCTCCTCTGCCATCCCCGAAATACCCAATCACAATCTTACCGCCGACACGTGAACAGCGCCAACCCAGGACAGATTCCGAGCTTGTGGAACCCGCCTGGATGGTGGAGCCATTTGAGACCGCAGGATGATGGGCAGAAGGTTTCGGATGACTGGAAGAGCTCATACAAAAGCGTGCAAAATGAACAGCCGCAGTTGGTCCAATATTACCCAGAAGGAGGGGAGTCGGTGACATACAAGAAACGTTATAATAGCTGTTTTCCAGGACATCTCACCAGCTCACCTGTACGAGTCAACTTCGCTGACACGGAGTACCAAATAACTAGAGTACTCGTTCCACTAGACTTTTGCTGAGATCAATGATAGAAGGTCGTTTATAGCTTTGATTCTTGATATGCGTGCCATTTCCAAGTGATTGCCTCCCTTGGGATGAGTAGTTGTTCTACAAGACCCAAAAACGCAAACGTGTAACACGTTATGCATAATTACAGTGTAGGGGTATATCTTTCTGGGGTGTACATAAATTGTACATTAATATTTGACTCCTGTCGATAATAGGGTTGATGCCATCCTAGATTAACATGCAGAGCTTGCAGCCTTGGTACTCTTCAACCTCCTCCTCAGCTCTTCAACCTATGGTATTCTTGCTAGGTATTACTCCAGGAGTCTGTAAGTAGCATAGTGATAGCGCCCCAGGTCTGTCATGTCTTCTCGAGTTTCTTAGAAAGGAGCATTAGTGCTGAATACTCTCATACGTGGTTGCCTGACTAGACTCTACTTTCGGTCAGGCTGTTATTCTATCAGACTCTAGTATGAGACATAGCGAAGCGCTTTGGAGCGACAGTAGGTGGGTCCAGTTCATGACGAATATGTCGATTTTGTAGGTTCTGACACCTGTTCATAATCAACCTCCGCCCCGCTTAGAAATTGCCATAGTGTCCAAAGACAGAGGACAATTGAGGCAATGCTTCTAATAACCTCGCTTGACGAGTTCGGGTCTATCATGATGAATTGCGTAGGTGTCTACTTCAGCACTGCACCCGGACAATCAGAGGAAAGGGAAGGTTGGAGTTGAGCGCATTATAAGCAATATCGCAATGATTAGCACACAACCTAATGACACATGAACTTGCAGCTACTTACACAAGCCATGTGGCGGTTGCTCTTACATAACTTCGTAGAATTATTCCGGACGTTTACATAAAAGTCCTGCAACACTTACATGGAGTACTTGACGTCCTTAAGCTACACGATTTAACCATACTCGCGACATATCGTCACATATGGCTAATCAATTAGGTGCCTTTGCTCTACGACGGAAAGCGTATTTGCAGAAAGTCCGCTATTAAGTCCGTGCTCTTCGCAAAGTCGGCTTATACGGGATGTCCTCACTTCGCTATTGCGAAGCCAATAGAATTGATGTCTTGGCCAGTGGCTAACATAAGGACCTTCTCGGCCACCCACCACCGCTGGGCCACTTATCGGTTCGCGCTCTGGCGGGAGCACGCCATATGGCAGTGATCGATCCGTAGCCCGCGTCTGTGTATGCTTGTCGGAAGAAGGTGGCAACTGGTGATGGCTCTTGCCGTGGAGCAGGATCGAATATGTATGCGGTGCCGGTGTCTTTATCCACGTGAAACAGGATCCAGTCGTCGCCATCGAGCCAAGGGACCACTAACGCGCCCGTGGTCTGGCCCGTTTCTTGGAACAGTCTTTTCCAGGGTCTCAATGTCAAGTCTCTGGCTCGGCAATACATGGAATGACGGCAGCACCACACGTGTCGCCAATAATGTCCCATACTCAACGTCTTGAGGATCGAGAGGATGCTGTTGCAGTCATCTGGTCAAGATGGCGAGAAGATCAGGTCCATAGGTACGTCTGAGAGCCTCATGGCTTGCAGTTTATGATCCCGTTGCTGACATGTGGTTGCTGAAGACTGGATAGTATCAAGTGTCGGAGGGCGAAATGGATGGAATATCAGCCGGTCTGTCGTATAGAAGTTGTAATTTGTCACTGAATGCGACTGATCTAGATGCTGACCAGCTCCTGATCTGCATGGAAGCCTGGATCCAGCTGACCAACACATTTGCCGTCGACGTTGGGCACTAGCCAATCCGCGCCATTGGTCGATCGCGGGGAGGAAGCGAGCTCCCTCTTCAGCCAATCTGGCCAGGCTCTTGTCTGAGCCTTGGAGATTCCGATACTCTTACCGGGCATTGCTCGGTAGTGTCTTTCGTGGGTCGAGTAATAGATTTATAACAACGACGAACTGTGAGCGCCTTTCCATGCTAAGCGATACTGTTGAAAAAGTGCACATGGAGTTAGGATGCGCTTAGCTTGGACAGCGAAGTAATGTGAGTTGAACTTTCGAGCTCCTCCGGCCGCAAGATAAGCACGTTTGCACCACGCCTTCGGTCGGTAATTATGAGTGGAAAGCCTTAGCAGGCAGGTCATAAGTGAGGGGCACGTCGCAGACATCCGGCACCAGGAACGGAGGAGAACCTATAGTATTCGAGGTAAAATAGTACTAGACTTAATATCAGTATGGTTCAGCACCTCTAAAGATATGAGCTAGACGTAGGTCTACCTGAGTTTCTGTCTTTAGTATCCTTGAGCAATACCCGGCGCGTTCTAGTTTTATCGGGTCTTTCCTAGACGCAGAGCTAGTTTTAGCTGTCATAGGCATGTAGCTTATCGTTTCTAACAGTTTAGCTTTCAATCCAAACAGACTATGGTTAGAAATATCCACAACGGGGCATATAAAAAAGAGTAGTGCGGCTGAGAAGTATGAGAAACCACTCAAGGCTACCACACCCATAGGACATGCGTCAATATGTCTACCTTCCTTTTACCGATATTAAGGGGTGATCAAGATATGTTGTCGACAGCGCTGGCAGCGGAAATAGACTTTCCTCGCTGCACCAGTCCTGAGTTGATACAGCCGAAGGCGCAATCAGACCAGGATTTCGTCCTTAAGCCCGTCCCAAATAGTGATTGCTCACGCATCATGGGCAACCAGATCAATGGACGCAGCTCGCCCTTACCACTCGATTGCGCAGCTATGCAGGATGGATTGAATAGCAGCATCAATATCGCGCCACTGGACCAAAGAAAACAAAATTCAGCTCAGCGACCAGATTCACTCGTAACTCAGGTGTACAACTATCTCGACCTGGGAAGCCCAGTGGTAGCATGGAACTTCGACGAAGAGCTCAGCAGTATCAGCGGTATACCAGTGCAGCAGCTACGTAAAGACGACTGCATATCAACCAGCCTAGGAAGGCCACCTTACCAGGTGCGTGTCATGCTACGGAACATGCAGGCAGGCGAGTCGCACTGACAGACTGATGAACCACAGGGCAGTGGGACTGCCCAAGCACAGAAGTCCCCGCGCTGGCAGGCTTTAAAACTGTATATCCAGGCGTGGGACGCACTGCAGGAGCAGAACAACACATCAACACCCCTCGAGTGATAGCAGATCCACTCAGACAGATATTGCTTAATTTTGTGTATAGGTCGGCGATTAGCACATACTTTTCGAGGCACGCCGCATTCGACATGTTCTCTCCGGAGTGGGTGAAAAAGGCCTTAGACGGTACGAGTGCGGCGGTTGGCCATGATCTAGTATTGTTGTTATAGCTGCTGTATCTTGTTTGTCTCTGGCCACTGGAAAAGTTGGCTACGTTGTACCCGTCAACGTCCCTACTCATAACCGGATCGTAGCATTATTCCATATAGCCCTGATATGTCGTGCGTTCTATTTTGGGAATCTGCATCACATTCCATTTGTTACATGATGCCGAGATCTTTGTCACAATTTGCGCGCTCAGCGGGTTTCTAATTATAGGAGCTCCACCTCTGCATCTACTAGTTTCTTTGTCTTGAACACCTATAAAGTCTAGAGCTGAGCACACCTCTTTCGTCGTCATCGAAAATCACGATTGCAACTGTGCGACTGTGAATACGTTTGCTCCAGCACGTACAACTAGTATTTATCTTTACTACGCCTCAGCCATATCCCAAAATCCTTTACAACAACTAACATGCATTTTATAACATCGTTCGTCGCCGCCATGGCCGTAATGCCAAGCAATGTCTTTGCAAGACATCATTATAAACAACTGAGGACCTCCAGCGGAGTTACCGTGGACCTGATCAATACTGACGGCAGCATATTCTATCTTCAAGGCTTTTCTACCACGCAACCTGTAACTTTGCAGCCTAATGCTGACTGGGGTTACATTGGAAAAGTCCGCATCCGGGTCACTGAAGCTGCAGGGCAAGTCGGCTCGTCGGACCTTCAGACTGACTTCCGATGCGAGCTTCGCGATGCTGGCCAGAACAACAACCGAATCATCGTCACGCGAGATAATAGCATCGACTTCAACTTCGGAGTTGGCAAAGCTTGGAAACTTCAGCCTGGCGGGCCTGTCAAAGCATCCAACTTGCGCGTCAAGTGCGATCCAGCACTGAGAAAGATAGAGCTCGATCGGCGTGATGATATCCGCGTAGCTCTGTCGAACAGTGCACAGGAGTTTGAACGCCAGCTTGATTTCTCGGACTCGGAGGGTCGACAAGAACAGAGGCAATCAGTTGGTGGCACTTTCACGCATGTAGAGCTCTTCGTTGGCCCGGGAGTGGAGAATCAGGCCCTTCGTTGCAAGGCATTAAACGGCGGGCAAGTCGTGCTGCTCAACCGAGGCGTCAACCTGAACAAGCAGACCTTTGGGGACGGGGGCAACGGGAGGTGGACGGTTGCTGGGGGCCCAACTGAGATCGACGAGGTAATCTGTAGTCCGACATTCCGCTAGCGGAAGTCCAAGGACCGACAGCCCTGCTCCTCTATTCTCTACCACACACCAGCCATTTTCCATAGTATAGATTTCATTTGTATTAGTCAATCTTTACCTGTTCTATTCTGTCTTTGATTGATTAACAAGTCCAGAGAAATCTGAATCACATTATAATCCTCTTGTGACAGGCGACTGAAATGGAGACCATCTCGACTCGCAGTCCTATCCAGTATTACTCAGGCTCCGGTCAAGTCAACCGCCCCATTGCACAGAACGACCAGTGTACATCTTGGCCCTTTCCCTCTTTTGCGCATACGGACTGTCTCCCTAACAAATTGTTGGATAAGATGCCGCGCACTGCCAGAACAAGCACAGAACAAATCAAGTTGTAGCGATCAACCAAGCACATCGTCCGGAGCGCTTCCGAGTAGAGGTGTCTGGATGCCGTAGTAAGCCAATGGAACACGACGGAATAAAAATGGGTTGCTCCGACATAAAGACATGCCATGGTCAGCAAGTACGCGGAAAGTCTTGAAGAAGCTATTATTTATGTCACGACACCCCATCTCTCTGCAGCGACTGCGATTACACCTGCACACACTGCGGGACGTACAGTATGGCTGTTGGGCTTTAGGTGCATCAAGCCGGCCATCACTTTTCACAGCAGCGACATCAGGGGTCGCGCACCCAAGACTGCCAGCCCCCCCTCCTCTATCTTGCCCGCAGGCTGAAGGTGTGCCGCCTTGTCTGACTTCTCAACAAGGTTATCCCCGTGCAGGCCAGAGACTGGCACAATACTGATTCTATCAGACGCGAAGGACATGGTCAGTCTCGGTGGCCTTGCTGCGTTGACCACATTATAATCGCACCAGGCTTACTTGAAATGCGCCAGCTTGATCTTAGTGAACGAGTGTGCGACCTGCGCGAATACGGTCTCCGACCAGTTGGCCAGATCCCTGAGTCGCGTTAGTCGCAGATAGATATTAACCATGGCAGTCACTTACATTTTAGTAGCAACTATAATCAGCTGCTCCTCGACACGGAGCTTCCCAGAAGACAAGAGGGACGCAAGACTTTGGCTCGAACGTGCTCCGTAGTCATCAGCAGACGCATCTACAGCCCAGAGGGCAATATCGGCAATTCCAGGAATGTCTTCAGTGGAATGGTTAGTCTGTTCCAGATGTGGAGGATAGTCATGGTCACCTGTGATCGTGTATTGGGCCGAAGGGCCGTAGAATGAGACGGGTCTGCCTTTCTGTCGATAAAGGGTTGCGATGCCACGATAATCGCAAATCCGACTCTTCTCGATTGGTGCAATCTCGGGAAGGGAAGCCCCGCACTAAAACTGAATGTTTCAGCTGGGATGAAACTAGGGCTAGTCTTCTTTCTCGTAATTTACCGTGAAGACCAGGTGCCAGGTCAGAGTCTTCTTGCCGGCGTTCGCATCCCCGAGGACGCACAATGTTTTTGAAGCCATTGGACCTGTGTTCAAGCCAGACGTAAACACGTATGCCGGACGAGGACATATACGTTCTTGGTAACAGCGGATTGGGGATCACCCCGATTCTGGACCAAGCTTTATGGGTTTTTGGTCTAGTCTATGGGCGGAGCTCGTACAAAGTCGAGGCAAACAGCTTGTATCGCTCTCTTGGGTTGTCACGTTGTTCGGAGAAGAAATCGTTCCTTCCGCGCTTCATATGCTAGATCAATAAGTGCTGCGATGCTACTCCCAATATCAGATGAGGATGAAAGGCACTGACTTTCTGGCAACGGTTTCTTCAAGGCTTTATGCACCTTTCCCCCCGGCCAGAATTTTATAGAGATCTCATAGCGTTTGCCATCCTCGTACTCCAAGATTACTATGATTCCCCAAGTCCTGATGGGGATAGCGGCCCCCCTTGTCGCCCAGTGGGTCCACGATGCCATCCTCCTGGTAGGGCTCTGGCTGATGTCCAAGCATGGTCTGTTCTTGTCATCGGCCAGAACCATGGCCCGTTCGGCTGGCCATCATATTTGTGTCTTTATAGGCTTTCTTATCCTGTAGTATTCCCACTTACGGCTAATTACTTCGTCTGCGGTACTGTCTGACTGGATCTTATACCATGGATCGGTATGAAATATATAGAAAGATTCTGCCTTTTCTTTCTCACGAACGACGAATGTTAGCAGACTGTTCCACCCCAGAGGCTAGAAGCTCCTGAATAATACTCAGCCTGATAGTTTCTAGGGGAATTTATCCACATGAGGAGGTTACTATCTACAGAATGAAGAAATCAAGATAATACCATAATCATGCGGCTGCTATGTACCGTATTTTCAGACCGTGGATAGCAGCAAAATCATCTCTAACCATTCATCGGTACTGTAGTAGCTGTAAGTATAATTGATTACCTATCTCACCGCACTTTTGGCCGAGTTATTTCTCGTAATAGCGAGGCACCAAGATAAAACAATCAACTAAGTTATCGTATTTTTTACTGCTAAAGTAGGAACCCCACAAAGTAGCTTCAACTATTCGAAGTTAGTGCAAAAGATACCACGGACGTTAGAGCCCAGATCTCAAGGCCCAAAGCACCCCCTAAAACCCCTGATTTGCATGTGGATCATTCAATCAGGCTGTGGAAAGCAACTTCGGGAGTCCTCTCTGTAGCTGTGGGAGAGACCCACCTCTGTACTTGGCAGGTAACACACAGAGTGGGCCCCGGCCCACATTGTCTACCCCCGTTTATCCATTTCTAATGTATAAGTGTGTTTGTGTGTGTTTGTGTGTGTTTGTGTGTGTTTGTGTGTGTTTGTCTACGTTTGTTTAGTTGTCCCTCTATAGCGCCGTTAGAAGATTCTTATTTGAGGGGGGTTACTGTCATTTCCCACTCGGCAAGTACTGATTTAATCTCATTTGTGCGGAGGGAGTGCGACAAAGCGGCCAAGTATGGCTCACATCAAGAGTGTCACGTTCAAACCAATGTCCGCGTCCAATTTATCACAAATAATTCATGGCGAGGACCTTTCGATGGAAGAAGACGACGCATCAGACCTCCTATCCTCTCCTTCCGAAATCCCTGACTACTGGACTCCTCTACGGGCAGGAGAAGTGAAAAGGTTTCATAGTTCCATCAGATTCATCAGACAGTTTGTCTACGCCGCAGCGAACATACCCGGAGGCATTCCTATTAGGATCAGAGACATGATAGATCGGGCGGGCACCCAACTGAAGACACTGTCAGAAAAAGTCCAAGAGGCCCATGACCTACGCCGAGGCTTATGGCGAGGGTCGTTAGAAGGAATTACACCGCCAATACGGAGGGTCTTGGTTCAGAAGCACTGTCAACTGGAGCAGCTCCAGGTGAGCTGCGACGTAAGAGATAGCACAGCTGTAGGACAGCAGCGAAAGCGAAAATGGGATGAGTCTAATTGTGAAGAGCCCGGATTGGCAAATCGGCCCTTCAAAAAAAGGCAAAGACACAGATACAGTTTCCGCAACAATCGCATCCCTAAAGTTGGATCATCAGTGGTCAAGTCTGTGGATATTTAACTGAGGGTACTATGCGGAGGCATGAGGGCTAGGCTCTAAGAATGGAGATCCGGCATACGCCTTTTTCAGACTCGCGTATTCTTCAGCTTTCCCAAGCTGTCGCTAAGCCATATTCCTACACACATCGATGCCTTTCAGAAAGTGCACCTTCAGTTGATGGAATTAAGATAAGCGAGTCAACCTTGGAGAACGCCTTAGTAGCATAGCCGACATAATAAGTGGGTATTGTGGTGCTGATTACAGACTTGGCTTCACTTCATACATGTGTATAAAACGTTAGACAATGCTTCTCCCTTAGAGTCTCTATAAGAAAGCCAAGCTGTGTCACCTCGGCCATCTCGCCACCACAACAGTATAATCTCCAACCCTCTACGACGCGTTTTCACCTCCTTGAAAGAAACAGAATCGCCGTTATTTTGTTATTAGCTGCCCTTTCAACGGCCCAATCACAATCGTGCACCATTCAGAGTGGGCAACCCGCCATGCTGCTACACACTGGCCAGATCATTCTGGCTGGTTGCCAAGTACTACTCAACACTCAATATTTGCGGACTTATATTTGGGCACTTTGTCGTGGCCAGGATATCTCATATTGGCTGAATCATTCCGTCACTGGTCTCTCCATTTTTATATTTCTTTCGTCACTCCACTACCCATGGGTTGTCTCAGTATGCTACGTCCTACAAACCGCATGTTACTTCGCCTATTTACTATGGCGTTTATTGCAGATAATAGATACTGCGGAACACTGAGGTGTCACGATCCTGCCGCCTGGAGTCAGCCGTCTGCCAGGGTGCTGGCCTTGCTGTTCTGAAAGATAGTTCAAGCGTTTGCAATATTACTATTCCTGCTATCGTCGTTCTCTTGGGGTTATCGTGTCTCCAGAAGAGATACTGGTCTCAGCAATTGAGTGAGTAGTTCAAGTGTGTAGTGAAATTGTCACTGAATCGTTCGCTGAAGTACAAAGGCAAAGACTCTCTGTATAGAAGATTCCTCGCATCTATATTCCCTTTGCCCTTCATCGTGCGTTGCAGCGGGAGATGTCAGTTCTGGTGTTGCAATGTACAGGTCCACTCTGGATGAGTAATCATGATCCTTTATGAAAGCGCTCCCTGCGTGCATGACCAGCCGTTTGTTCCTGGCCAGGTCTTGCGACCTCTTTGTGCTTTCGTTGCTGGCCCCATCAAGCCCATCGCCGTTCCCAGACATCTGAGATGGCCTCACTTCGGCGCGACGTCTAAGTAAGCCTCACTGGTAATACCATCGAACCTGCCAGGCGATAACCTCCCTTTGGTCGTTGGTTGGTTGTTCTTCCCATGATCAGAGAGAACCTGACTTTGCCCCGGCAGAATACAACCGGTGTTCGATCTGACAGTCACTATCAATATCGCCGCCTCCAAGTATACAGCCCTCTCACTAGTTTGGCAGCTAGTATTTTGTTGGCAATTGTTCGCGGTGCGTAAGTAGTGATGCATTGAGTCTCATGCTAGGCCCTGTTCAGTCGCGGAGTGCTTCGCTGGTCTGGAGTCTATCGACCTGCCCGGGACATGACATAAGGGGGAGTTACGCAACACTGAATCCTCTCTCAAAATAGGGTTGCTGCCTTGACCTGTGAACGTGCAGTGCTACTGAGTAATATTGCTGAGCTAGATATTGCTCGACATAATAATCCTGCTAGTCTTTTGTTCTACATCTACTCTGGACGGCTGAAAAACAACTAGAAAAAATATGGGAATAGTACAACTACATAGATATTAAGACGACGAAGACATTTCGATTCGTACAGCTTTTCTTTTAACCAAATAAAAGTGCTCTCACAAGAAACGATGTCCTGACCTTATCCTTCAAATAGTAAGTGGTGTACCATTCGATTTATAATAATTGTTATCTGAGCAATTCTGCTTCCGTTAAGCCACCCGACTAGCGTGTTTTAGCGACACGTTAGAGATATGTTAGGATACGAATCAACTTCCTAGGACTCGTGGGAGTTCTTTACACGCTTTTAATTCTTATGTCTTTCTAGCGATATCCGATATTCTTTGTATTAGATCTGAGAGTTCTCCGGACGGAGTGTCCACACTTATTTGTGGGGGTTGAGATGTAGTACACGGCGATGTTTCCTTACTTCCTGTTAGCTGCTCCTGCTGAGTAGTTTGCCCCTGGAATGGTCGTGGACTTGGAATCTCGTTGCATTCCCCTTCAAGTCCCAGTGAGTTCCGATCCGTTGAAAAAGACTCCAACGGCAGTTTCCTACGTTGATTGCTGACGCTGACAGCCACTTTGTTTTCTTCTCTTAATTGACGCGTGGCACTGCTATCTGGTAACGAAAGCCGCGTAGGAGTTCTAGAGTTATCATGTCCATAGGACTCACTGTGTGGATCGTTCTTTACCAAAGTGCCGATCTGCTCTGTATCCGGATTTTCCTTTGGAACTGTTACCAATTGCGGCTGTGACGATGCTCTGGGGTCCTGAATATATGTTATTTCTACAGCTCTAGCACATCCAACTCCGCTCACAACTACGTCTTCCGTTTCTGATTGTGACCATGAAAGATTGCGCGTCGAGCTATTAGAGGTTACAGCTGCTGAACTTGGCCCTGTTAGCACCGGCAAGGGAGGTTCTCTTGCAGAACTTCGGCCCCTGAAAGATGGACTGGGCATGGCGTAACTTAGCAGATCCTCTGCATGGTTGGCGAACTTCAAGTTGACGACACGACCGCCTTTGAACTTTTTTAGGAATCCTAGATCATTCTTCACAGAAGCAGAGTTTTCAGCGGAGCTACTGGAAATTTCGTCGTCAAAATCCTGGGAACGATCGACCGTATAACGCCTGACCTTTAGGAATCGTGGGACACATTTTAATATGAGTTTGTCAGGGAAACAACGTATGACGATGCCCACGGGGATGGAGACCAGACCAAAGCCGACAGCAATGCCCCACTGTAGACTACTTTGAGGCGGCCGGCCCTTCGGGGTTATGGTTGGAATGGAAAAGGGAGTGCCACCGAAGGAGATAATAAGAACCTGAGCACCGCCTAAAATAAGGCTGATGACAATAAAGAACCAGTGCCTTGTTAGACCCTCGAAAATATTGAGTTTATTATCCGATCGCCGGTTGCTATAGACCAGGTTAGCACAATCGGTGTAAGTTAAGTAAAGAATAATCTCACTTACTTCCACAAATTAAAGATTTGCATCCAGACGAAAGTGTTGAACACAAGAGCACGCATATATCTCTGTTCTTCAGCTTCCACAAGCCGTGTTGCCATGTATTCGAGCCCGAATGTTACAGCGAGTTGATAGAGAGCTTGGCCGATTATCATCTTCCACATGGCTGAAGAAATAATTCCAGATCCCCTGCTGTTAGCTGTAGAATCAGGCATAGTATTCTCGGGAGGGCCTGTCACCAGGGCAAGAGCGGCGAGCGTGTCCATGATCAGGTTAACCCAGAGCAGTTGCACGGCGGTGAATAAAGACTCCTGGTGAGCGCTAGCTACAGCAGTGAAAAACACGAGGACGGCGACAGTGATAGTGATGGTGAGTTGGAACTGGAGGAATCGCTTGACCGCGTCATTGATTGCTCGACCCCACCTCAAAGCCTTGACAGTGCTTGGAAAACTTTCAACCTCAATAATGGCTGAAGCGCCCTTCGCAACGTCCGTGTCGGTATTACCAATGGAGAGAGCAACGTCCGCCTGTTTCAGCGCAGGCGCATTATTGGTTCCATCACCGATGACGGCAACAATCTCACCAAGGGCTTTGAGGCGCTGAACCAGGAGCACCTCGTCGTCGGGTGTCGAACATGCGAGGACCTGCAGGCGGGGATTTTGTTCTGATGGTCTTGAATAAGCTTCCGGAACTCTGAACCTTCCATGATGGTGCCCTCATCGCGAAGAATACCACACTCGTTAGCAATAGCGCGAGCCGTCGGGGTGTTGTCTCCAGTCACCATGCGCACGAAGACGCCCGCTCGTTGGTACTCTCTGACAGCTTCGGGGACGCCTGGTCGCAAGGCATGCTTAATTCCAACAAGTCCAATAAAGCACATGTTGTCAAATAAATCCTCGAATAGAGCACCCTTGTTGTTATGCTTACTGTGTCGGGCTCCTTGCAGAGGCCACTCAGCAAAGTCGCGGTAAGCAAAGCCAATGGATGTCAAAGGTTGTGAGGCATATTCCTCAATCAGTGCCATGATGGGCTTACCGTCGCTGGCGAGGGGGTCGCTGCTGATATCTGTGTCCGGGCGCTTAAGGAACATTTTGCATTTGGCGAGAAGAGTCTCTGGCGCGCCCTGCGCGTACAGACGTGCGTTCCCGTTTTCGAGCTGGACGACCACACCAATGCAATCCCGATTGGGCTCTAAAGATGTTTGCAGAATCTCGACATTGGTGTGGTCTTTGCTGAGGGATTCCATGGCGAGAAAACTTCGTGCGGACTTGAGGAGTGCCGTTTCAGTCTTTGATCCGATAAAGGTAGAGACCCCATCTTTGTCGCCCTCTAACGCGGTCGAGCTGAGCGAAATAGCCTCGAATAATAAATTTCGACTATCCTTGGCAAGTCCTGCAATAAATTCCGCATGGGCTAACCTCTCAGTACTTGCGCTTTGGGTGCAGTGTAAGTGACGCCGAGTGCCGACGGCGGCAGCTACCACGATGCCGTTTTGAGTAAGCGTACCAGTCATGTTGACGCAAATTGACGTGGCATTTCCTATAACTTCGCATGCCTTCCGGTGAGGAATAAGGTTGTTACTTCTCTGAATCCGCGTGGTAACGGATGCGACAGCAAGCGTGAGCGCCAACGGCAGCCCTTCCGGGACTATAACGATGATGAATGCAACGACAATAATAAACATGTCCAAGACCTCTCGAGCTTTTGCAGATGCTGTGGTCGTGTTTTGTGGAAGTTTGGTGCAGAAAATGACAAGCAAGATGACGAGAAGAGTCAGGCCAGCTACGCCACCGAACATAGCAAGCCTTTCGGCAATTCGATTCAGCTTCGACTGGAGGGGTGTAAGTTCGACTTGCTCATGAAGCGGGATGAGGGCTCCCGTCCTTCTGCAGAGAAGAGTGCCCTCTTCCGCCGTGTCGCAACTGCTCGCACGAACGAATGAGGATGGTTCTGTTGTAAACTTTCCTGCCTTGATGTCCGCAGAGGCTTTCTCTGCTGGCTCTTTTGAGACGAGCCCTGCCTTGCCTGTCGTCCCGTCAGTGGGGACCACATCTTCTGGCTCCAGGTGCAGGACTTCACTGGCCATCCTCCGATTGAGCCTCGAAAACTGTTGATCCTTCTGCCAGTCGTTGAGAGACCCAACGAGAACTACGATAGAAATGGCCACGAGGATTGTCACGCTCTGAATCAACCCTCTCGACGTATCGCCGACTGAGTGTTTTTTGGACAATTCTTGGTATAGTGCAATGACCAGCGATATTAGCACGGTACTTGTCAGCAGTAGCAAGAGCTTATCGTTATATGTCACTAATGTGAACTTCCAGAAGCTTTGGCTGTTCTTTAGTACTGCTCGATAATCCTTATGCCAATGACTCTGACCTGTTTCGCCATTGCTGTTTAAAGATGTCATATCGATAGTAATCTCTCCACCGGACGGCTGCTTTGGTCTCGCATCAAGATCGACCATTATACCAACATTCGTGGGATTTGTACTCTCTTGTGGCCCTTTTCCCGAGCTTCACTTATATTACAGACCAGCGTAGGCTGTACGTATTATGAGACGTTGGATTACGAACGACCGCGTTAGTCAGATCAGCTAAGAAGTGTTTATGTAAGCTATGTGCATGTGACGGCCAACCAACAGGGGATGTTTGTTACGGGCACGGAAGAGCCCAAACAACTAGGCCACAGGATCAGGCCAAGGACAAGGGCGGATCATGTGGCAGCGCCGTCACAGGTTTCTTATGTAAGCACGATAAAGGACGATAAGGAAGGTACGTACCAGGTCATGCATATCTGCACGACCGACGCCGTGCCAAGGAAGATGGTCACCAACATCTGCATGACCATCAGGACCGGACCTGGGACCTGGCCACGACCAACGGGGACAGGACCATGACCACGATGGAGGACAAAGGATATAGATGCGAAGGATCTCCTAGATACACAGTCATTACCTTTGTACTTCAGCGATCAATCTAAGTATCAGTTTCACCCACACTTGAACTAGTCACTCAATTGCCGAGACTGGTATCTCTTCCAAGAGACACGAACGACAACCCAGAGAGAGAACGACAGCAGAGTGTTAGTTGTGATTGCACATGCTTTACCTATCTTGCAGAACAGCAACCCCAGCGCCCTGCCAGACGGTTGACCCCGGAGGCAGGATCGTGACAGTGCACTAAATTGGAGCTAGTTACTGACGCCGAATGTGTAGTGATCGCAGACGGGTAGAGTGGTCTTCACGATTTCCTCTGAGAGCCTTCTTAAGCGTGATATAGCCTGTTGGTAGCCCAACCACGCGAACTTGATCTATCAAGTCTACAGCGAATACACACATTAGAGTTGATTGCGAGGGTTACTTGGCTTTGTATTTACAATGTCATAAACTAAGTTAGATTACATACTTCTACTCTTGGCCTGGCATTCGGCCTCAGTATCGGTTCACCTACGCCTTAGTCATCATATATTACCGTAACTTGATGCAAAGGACTATAACCACTGCACCAGGTAGGGCAAACCTTGGTCACCCGCCATCCGCCGGTGAGCACCGTTCTTGGCAAGGGCACGCAGTCTCAGTTTCCATCTTGTAAGGCTGTTGTGCCTCATGGTCAATGTTCCCAGGGAAGTTAATCTTGGGGAACGCGACATAAGATGCCCAGCGAGCGCTCTGCAGTGTTATGCCTCGAGTTCACTATACCACGTTGCAGGTGAATATCTTCAGGGTCCCGAACCAAGCTCGAGGGGCTCTCGTGGTACCACTGCCAGCACGGTAAGGATGGCAATATTCCTCACGCCCCGATAAAACTTACATCACAATTGACTCTAACATCCCTCTCTAGCCCTGACATAAGATGATGAGGTAGTTCCAGGACTGAGGGGGGGCCCTTTTCGGACGAGACGAGCCTTCTCTCTGGTATTGACACCGGTTTGCATATTTTCTTGCCTACATACCGTGCCTCTAAATAGCTAAGCTAGACTGCCTCGAATTGGAGACACACTATCACCTCAGCTCAACAACGCCATCTGCAATACCAAATGGGTGTGGTTCCAGCCGACTCAAGCGGCAACACATGAAGCCATGCGCGGCTCCCTGCTCAGCCTCTTCCATGAACTGGCCAAGCTTGCCACAAAGGCCAAGCCAGCCGCCGCGGTTGAGACGGCAAAAACGACTCGGATGCCTTTCATGTAAGCCTGTAGGATACCGGGGACCTGGGCGGCGGCGAAAGCTGTCCGGATCTGCGTCGCTCCTGTAGAAATCACCATATCCGGAGGGACTGCCGGGGCATACTCTTTAAGATTTCTAAGGAGCTCATTGACAAATGCTGATTGCGCGGCTGAGAGGAGGAACGCACTGCCAAGGGTCTGGAAAACTAATAGTAAGCATAATTATTAGTCTCTAGATGCGAGAATAAGTAGGAAGGGACTGGGGATCGGTAATTACACATAATAATGGATGTAGTTACAGCTAAATCCCCAGTTGCAGCATTTCCTTGGGCATGGATCATTGGAACCTGGATCGCGAGCCCAAAGCCAGCTCCAGCGAGAACCTGGTAAGCAGTCAACTTGCTCTCATCTGCGCCGATCTTGAGAGTGCACATAAGCCCTGCACTAGTCGTCCCAAGCGCACAACCACCCGTCATGAGCGGTACTGCAATGCCAGTTTTCGAGATGAGCACTCCCGAAAGGATGGTCGCAAAGGTGACAGCGAGAATGATTGGAATGTTGCGCAATCCCGATGTGCCTGGAGAATCATTGTTGATACTCTGAAAGTAGATAGGGAGATAGTAGATAATGATGAGGTAGGCAGAGCCTAGGACAGAGCCGCAGAGTGCATTGACCCAGACAGTCCTTTTCTTTATGACACGTGGAACTACCATGGCGCGCTCACCGTTCAACGCCTGCCAGGCGATAAAAACGACAATAATGACAGCAAATCCGGCAAGAAGACCGGCCACAGTGTTTGAGCTCCACGAATGGCTCTGGCCACCATACTGGACAGCCAAGATGAAAGCGACAGTGGCTCCCATAATCAGGAGAATGCCGAAGGGATCCATTTGAAGGAGTTTCTCGTGAACAGAAACCTCGACTGGCCTTGACTTGCTTGGGGTTGTGAAGAACAGGAGAATAATTGTGCCCGAGAGGGCGCCGATGGGCAAGTTGACGTAGAAGCACCATCTCCAGGAAGCGTGGTCGGTGAAGGCGCCTCCAATTAGGGGACCGGTGACGGAGGCAATACCGTAAGAAGCGCCCAAGATTCCAGTGAACAGTGGACGGTCCATGGGCTCGGCGGCGAACGCGATAAGGGTGTAGCACCCAGAACTGAGTCCCGCAGCACCGACACCTGCGATGCCACGCCCGACGATAAAGGCGCCTGAGTTTGGTGCAATGCCGCACAACAGACTGCTGACCTCGAAGATGACCATAGCAATAAGGAAGGCGGTCTTGAGATTCAAGTACGTGTATGCCTTGCCCCAAGCTGACTGGAACCCGCCGATGGTCATGAAGAATGCTGAGCCATACCAGGCAACGTCGGAAAGACCTGCAAACTCGTCTGTGATCTTAGGAACGGCTGTAGCAACGATGGTCTGTTTGATATGTTAGTCTCACTGGCACTGATTGCGGTTCATTCATGCCATTCGGGAAGACTGGGCAGTATGACTTTGACGGTAGGGTTCTGACCATGTCGAGTGCGACCAGGAATATGCTCAAGCCTAACGCGAGAACAATGAAGAACAGAGCCATGCCGGAAGGGTAGTCAACATGTTCATCAGCGGTCATGAGCGCATTTTCGACATTGCCTTCCGCCTTCTGAATATCCGTAATGGCGCGATCGTTGTCTTTTGTTGCCAATTTCCAGACGCATCTCACGCCTGGCCCCTTATCATTCGGTGTAACAGCCATCATGAAATCTCACTCCGCAATTCAGCCACTGAGTCCTGTATTAGGACACTAGGACAACAAAAGACTCGACGTACAGCTTGACGTAATGATGCACGGGCGATGGAAGTATACAGATTGAATACGTCGGGGATGTTGAAGTCTCGTTCCCTTGGCTTTAATCTTAAATTCAGGTTCGTTCTTCCGAGCTGGTACAGCACAGATGCGTGGAAAAGGCCATTAGGTCCGAGTGTATCTTGCCCGATGAATGCCATGGCATGTATCAAATCGGAGATAAAGAACCAAACGATGCTTCTACATGTGCTTGTGCTAGTTCTTACTCCTTGTTTGTTTCCAATATGTTATTTGCTCTTAAGTATGCCTTCACAGCTTGTCCCTTTAAAATTGCTGATTCATCCCTAGGCCTTGCAAGAAGGGCATTGATTCGTAGATCACCTCTCGAGTGCTGCTCTTCAGCTATTATATCATTCCCCCAAACTCCCCCGGTCGGACCTGTGTATCTCTAACGTAAAGAATATAGTGGAATTTAAACCATTGAAAAGTTGCCCATGCTGTTAAGTAGAGGCTACATTGAGGCACTTCCGCCATCAAGCGCTAAGCCTACATATGGTTTAGCCTTTGAGTGGCTTTTCACACCAGGCACGACGGACGAGTTTAGAGTTTCGAGATTTCTGTCGGGGGATTTTTCAGGACACAAAAAGGAGATGATTGAAGGGGTTGCACGTCGTGAGAATGCGGTCCTGTAGTTGCACGTGGCATCTCCAGGACTTTTCAGTTACTTCTGAAGCCGGCAGAGTTCAGTACGAAGGCCAGTTATGCGGAACTAATGGAGGCTGACATCGTCCGTCGCGATGCGATATGATCGTGACTCCATAAGTAGCCATGATCTAGATTCGGGCGCTCCAGACCAGAGAAGGGACTGGCTTTAGTCTTGGCATAGAAGTTCCATTTTTGTGACTAAATCCACCAGTATCTGCTGAAGTCATCCCTTTAAAGCAGCAAATGGTGAAAGCAATTAAGAAGTTGATCCTTCAGACACCTCGGAGTAACTATTATACAGCTCCATGGCAGTCATCTTGTCGAATACTGCTTCATCCTTTAGATCCAACTCGGCGTTACTGGTTGTTGTGGTTGTTGTGGTAGTGGCTTTTCCGAGAACTCTGACATCTCTTTATCATTCGTCTTGAGGGCACCTGTCCTACGTGAGACAACTACATCCACCAGTAGTAGCATAAGGTAGACGAGAATCAATACGGCGGAGATTATGGCGTGAGTACTGATGTCACGCCGGACCTTATCTGCCACATACATAATCGCAGAGTCAATGTTATCCATGATAATGTCACTGCCGGAAGATAGAGCCTTGTCTAATCCCGTCTCTGCAATACTGGCGCCAATAGAAAACACGTCGTGTGGCAACGGAGGAAAGTCAATGTTGACATGTTCATTGACCCACCGGAGACCAGTTTGCACGGCGTCAATCTTCGTCCCTATCAAACACCTCAAAGCCTGCTGTATAGCATCTCTTAAGATCGAGTCTCCAAACGCTGCCGTAAGGGCCTGCTGAATTTGGAGGTTGAACGTGGTTATCGTTGAGTTGACTCCGTCAGTGGCTCTGTGCATCTGATCCTGTAGTTGACCAGTAAGATCCTCATTTAACCGTCCCATGGCGGAGTCAGCAGTATCTGCCCACGCGGTAGATATTCGTTGCATACTGGTAGAAAGTGCTTCAGCTCGGATCTCGATAGCGTCCCTCATCTCAAGCGCCTCGCTTTCGACCGTGCGAAGAAAGAGTGTCGCAATGAGACAGCTCAGTAGTCCGGAAAATCCAATTAGAAGCAATGCGGACGCATTACTGGAACAATGACGCCTAGAGATCCGAAACTTCGTCAAAATAGAAGCTAAGGGTGCTAATCGTGCTTGAGCTTGCTTCATCCTTGGGCTTTCCACCAGAACTTGAACAAGTTCCAGATTCCTTGACTGTATGTAGTATAGCGACGCTGCTAGTAGTACCGCGAGACAGATTATGATTACGATACTCCATGTAATTTTTAAGCGAACCTGATCGCGTTGCTTTTTGAAAACATCTGAAAATGTGGTGTCGTTAGGGCAAAACACGAAAGACTCCTTTTCCGGAACGAAAAGCTCTTTCGGATCGAACGCCCAGCTTCCAAGCGTTTGATTTAGCTCCGTCCTTACTGCTCGGAAAGGCGTTGTGAGAACCATGTCGGTCATATTCTTCACTGTCGCGAAATCAGGAATGCGCCGCTCCAGTTCATTCAAGTCATTGAGTATCGGGCCAATGTCTATTTTCGTATTTCTGATGCTTTCCAGCGCATCATCGACGTTGAGGTGCGGCAGTTGTTGTACGTCCTGTCGCTTGGTGCGGGAGCCGAACAAGTTGCTAATAGTGCCTGAAATACCGCCTACTGTGTTTGCGCCTTGACTTATGAAAGCATTCACGCTATCTATGCCCTTGTTCGTAGTCGCTATGCTCTGTTCGATAGACTGTAAGGACCCGGTAGTGGCGCCTTGATAAAGCGAGCGGAACTCCTCCATCGCGCTAATGGTTATGTTCAACCCGCCATGAATAGCCATGAGTAGCAGACACATATAGGTGTCTGTCATGGAGTGGAAAACAAAGAGCAAAAGCTTCTCCATCGCCTCTAAGACAAGGTCGAGCGAGCTAGCAATAGCTCGGACTGAATTTGTTACGCCGTCCGCCGTCAAAGAATTAATGCCTTGGGATAAGTAATGTGGCATTGAGACAACCGTGCTCCCCACCGCCTCTGCTTTGAGGCAGGCAACGGAAGCTCGATCTTGTGCCTCGTCGATTGACTTCTCAATACTTACAGATAACGGGATTAAGTATGCCAGCACCAGGATTGTCGCTAACGCTATATGAATGAATGCATGCTGGTTGTGGACGTCGGTTCGCTCGCGTGAAGGACGACTGTTCGAATCCATTCCAACGATGTGGCGGAGGGCACGCATGATTAAATGAACACGCAGTGACCTTGCGATGTAGAGATAAAGGCTCACGTTGCGCAGGTAACACATTTGTCGACTTTAACGTCACCAGAGTAGAGGATTATTATGTTATTACAGCTGGCACAAACTCCTCGGCCCGTCGTCTCGACGATTTTGTTATCCGTTTCGTGCACATGGACCACGCAGTTCTTTAGCTTCGGTCTAACAAGGCAGCCAAATGGTTCATGTCATAGACGAAAGTGATATCTGGCATTACCATCGCTCCTCACCGAGCAATCTGGACTGCTAACCAAGACTATCATTCTAGCAAGTTGGGACTTGGAAGAAATATGTATGTGGATGTATAATAGACACTTCACTCCCGTTGGACGCCGCAACTACTTCGCGCTCATTGAAGCTTTGAAGTAAGGTAAATTTATTGATTCCAGCTGTGTTAAGCTAGATGGAACCATGTGAGCCGCTTCATGAATGATCTGGCCACTTCACAGTCCACTCATTGATGATCATTCCAATCCTTTGTATATCATGTAGTCAAACCCTCTAATATTGCACTGCCCTTAGACCCTTTTGTCTTTGCTTCCATCGCTCACTCCATACCCTCAAAGCTATTGCTATGTTGGCCACAAATCCTATCAGTAATGCAATGGCTACTCCAATACACGTATTGTATAGCGCACTCTCTCCAAGGTCTAAGCTGTATTTCAGCTGTAGCGCCCAGGAAACAGACCGTTCTACACCCCAGATAGATGTAATCCCAAACAGCATAAGTGACAGCCCGTACCAGAGTTCCTGTACAGGGTATAGTTTGGGGTTTTCCAAGTATTCTTCATTGCGTGCTATAGAGGCTAAAACAAGGAAGTAGACGGAGCTGGTCCCTGTAAAGCTGGCCGCATGAATCAGGGACAGCATGATCATATGTGCGTCATAAGAAGCTCCGTTAGCGGGAGATTCAGGAGAGTGTAGACCCGGGGCGCAAGCAGCGGCCACACTGATAAATACGACTGAGAACGATGCGTTCAATAGGCCTATGAAGACTCGTTTAACCCTTTTGTTCATGTTGAAACTTATTTTCACAGTCCAAGTCTCTCTCGGACATATGGATCAGAGCCTGGGTTCTTATACCTATAGCGTTGTCATCCCTGATCATGTCATGCTTGCAAATTTGTGTGTTATACCGCGCGTAATGTGATCCACATCTCGTTGTCGGAACCCCACTCTAGTAGCTCGCTCTCATGTCGACGTGAAACTGAGAAACGTGAGGGCCCAGAAAAGCATGCAGTTTAGTAAAAGACATGCAGTATACTACTGCAGTATAGGATGGGTACTGTATCACGTCGAGCTTGTGCACAGTATCCAATAAGACATATTCGCAGAGACGTGGGACTTCCGCTGACTTTGTTGATATGATGCCCGTCCCTGTGGAGCATTGAAAGCATACACAAACAAGCGCCCGGAAAGCAAACATATCTCTGTTTGTTTGCCGTATATATTACGCAAGATCAAGACCGAACATAGTCGCTTTAGATAAGCTCACGCTTCCAGCTATCGGCCAAACCCAGAGCATGGCCACGCTCCGCGAAGGACTTTGTTTATACCCAGCCTATCACTCTCCCTGAACAAGGAGTTGTGGTACCACTTTCGAGGTTCTAGCACAGCCATGAAGAAGTTGGCTTGTCCCGGAACAGGTCGTCAAGCCTCGACGTAATAGCCTATTCTTGGTCGGGCCTAGTATAGCTAGGATGTGGGATGAAGATTACCGGCCAATAGGCTGTTTAGATCTACCTATCGCGACGAACCCCACGGCTCAATTCAATGACGCCCAAACCTGGCGTAGAGTCTCGGAGGACCTACTACCAACAAGCATCTCGTCCCTGCTTCAGGCGGCAAACGATCGGCCCGACATTACCACCCTGCTGAAGCACCAGTGGATCCAGCTCGAATTCTTTGTACGCCAAGCCGCCAAAGGCTCATTTGTCCGGTTCCGCATCTATGTACTCCCATTCGACGTTGAGCGGCATGGGGTGAGTGACCGCCACGATGAAAAGCTGATGAAAGCTCTCGCCATGCTATTACAACGATTAAACTATTCTTCAGAGGCGTGGAATGACGCCTCAAACCAGCAAAGGCTTCCGCACCCACTATCCTTCACGGATTTACCAGATCCCCTCCCAGACGACTCTTGTCTATTGGCTCTCTTCAATAGTGTCCCTTCTCCGGATCCAGACCCCAACTCCGTCTCCGATTTAAATGCTCGACATGCTATGCTCTCCATTCTGGAGGGAAACCTTCCTGGTATACGCACCACTCTCTATCCATACCAGCGTCGTTCGGCGGCCTTGATGCTACGAAGGGAGCTTGTCCGGACCAAGGTTTTGGACCCAAGGTTGCGCTGCTGTCAGGACCAGTCAGGGCGTCCATGGTACTACGACTCGGCCACGGGCTTGGTTTTGGCCAAGCCGCGATATTACAATGGTGCTCGCGGCGGCATCCTCGCAGAGGAGATGGGCACAGGGAAAACGTTGATCTGCCTTGCTCTCATTTCAAGCACGAGGCGCGAGCCAACGACAGCACCAGACCCATTCGCGGTAGAGGTTCCGCGACGAAGATATGTCGGAAACTTTGTGGATATGTGCGCGGCTGGTGTTAATCGTCATTCTGTGCCGTGGCAGCCATATTTTACATACATGAACCAACGCCTTGGCCAAGATTACACTCGATGCGTCGAAGCTCTACAACGCCCAGCAAACCGCGCCGCTTATAAATTAGACCTCGATGTCGGGCTCACCACAAGAAGAAGCACTCGTCTCATGCGGAGCGAACCACAGACGAGAACGATTTTCCTGAGCAGTGGGACTCTCATCGTAGTTCCCGACAATCTTGTGACTCAGTGGAAGGACGAGATATTACGGCATACGCCTGAACTCGAAGTCATGACCCTGATCAGTCGAGCGCGAATGCCTTGTGTCGAACAGCTACTAGCAGTTGATATAGTCCTCATCTCCCAGAGCCGTCTTGAACGGATCTGGGCAGAAGGAAAGAATGACAAGGGACAAGTGCACGGAATAGACTGCGAACTGGAGCACATACAATGGAAGCGTACAATCATCGACGAAGGCCATAAGCTGGGGAAGCCAGGCGAGAGCACTATGTCCATGGTGCTGCAAAGGCTCAATACAAGTGCGATGTGGATTGTCACAGGCACTCCGACAAGAAATCTCCATGGTGCAGAAGTGAAAGATACTTTGACCAGACTGAACGATATCGAGTCACAAAGGAGCGACCTAGTACACCTGGGCAGGATCATTGCCAAGTATCTGAAAGTCCCGCCATGGGCCAAGACAAAATGCGTCGACGATTCTATTGCGGATTGGAAAATGTACGTTGTGAGTCCGACACAGCATTCGAGGTGCCAACATCACGTAGATACTGCGAGGGCTACGCTGAATTCTATTTTGATTCGGCACCGCCTTGCAGACATCAGCACGCTACTTCCCCCTGTGGATGAGAAGATTGTCCATATTGAGGGCTCTTATCAGGACAAACTTGCATTGAACTTGTTCTCGATGATGATCATCTTGAACGCCGTCCAGTCACAACGAACAGGTGTGGACTACTTATTCCATCCACGGCAGAGAAAGAGCCTTCTTGAGCTTGTCCGCAATCTGAGGCGGGCTTGCTTCTTCGGAGGTGTTTTCTTTTCCAGGGAAGAGATCCAGAAGGCTGTTGATATTGCGCAAGAGTTCTACAGCTGCAAGCCAGTACCAATAAGTGCGGAGGATGAAGCCTCACTTTGCCGAGCTATCGAGATTGGGCACAAGGCTCTCACAAACGACCTAAAGAACGTCAGCAATCAATTCAATATATTGCCGGTCTACATTACTCACTCTCTCGAAGGCGTCAGGTCTGGTCCGTCTCTCGATTATATCGAGGGTGAAGCTGTCTGTGTTAATTTGGATCTTGTCTATTCACTACAACAATCCGGTTATGCCAACTTCAACGATCCCACGTCGATATCAAGGAGCACGGCGATACGCGATTATCAGTTTCAGATATCACGAGGATATTGCAATCGAAACATCGCACAGTTATTGGGCCAATTTCAGCAGCAGGCTGCGACAGCGTGGCAAACCAAGCGAGGGTGGGACAGCAACAAGATCTCGAACTCTATGTCCACTGGGACCACTTCCATCACTGACAACGTCGCTGAACTCCAGGGTGAGGATCACCTTCATACTGTTCCTTCGGCAAGTAAAGTTCTAGCATCGACCCGAATCATTTCTACGGCTTCTGCCAAGCTATCATACTTGATAGATGCGATTATGCAGCATTATGAGAAAGAGCAAATCATTATTTTCTATGATATCGACAGTATCGCGTCTCATCTAAACAGCGCTCTAGAAGTAGTAAGTCTGCCATAAAGCCGATAGTAGTGCCTCCCGCTGACCAGATCCTCGATCTCAAGCTCAGAATAAAGCATCTCATATACACCCGCTCCGGGCAAAGCCCCCAAGATCGCGCCAAATGTATAGAGCGCTTCACCCACGACTCAACAAATAGGGTGTTACTCATGGACATTAGTCAAGCAGCCTTCGGCCTAGACATGCGCAGTGCGTCGCGCATTTATTTTGTGAGCCCTGTGTTAAACTCACAAGTCCAAGCTCAGGCTATTGGTCGCGCTCGTCGTATCAGCCAGCAGAAGCCTGTCACCGTGGAGACTCTTGTTCTAAAGGGTAGCATCGAGGAATTCATCGTCGACCGAGGTAGGAACATGACGCATTCAGAACAGCGAAGAACCATGAGGTCGGTCGTTGAAGACAAGCCAATCATGGACTGGATTAAAAACGTCGAAATTTTGCCCATGGACACCGACACCATGGGCCCTTCCCCTGTAGACCTTGTGGACCATGGTGGCGAACTGTCACAAACCGCAATGCTTCGAGCACCTCAAACTGTGTTCAACGTGTCGTCAGCTCAAGTCACGCAGAGGGACAGACTTATTGCGCTGGACACGGGTACACGCAGGACCACAAATGAGGAGTATCAAGTGATCGCTCCTCCACCTGGCACCCCTGATTCCAAGTCAGCAGTCAGGGGCTCGGGGCCATTCAAAGAGACGTTGAACTCAGCCCAAGAAGTTTTGTCGACGACTGAGATTCTGGTAATGCACCAAGGTCGCTATATCCAGTATGTTTCAGACGTAGATTATGTAGCAGAGAGACCCCAGAAAAGGACACGTTTCGCAGAGGTAAACTAGTTGCAAGTCGGCTAGTGTAATGTGCGCTCAACTAGCTAACTATGGCTTCGAACAAGTCTTCATCCATACAATAAGCGAGGAGTTCTATCAAAGCCATTTCTGAGTTGGCGCATGTTGTTCCCACTGATTAAGTTTGTGTGCAATGTTGTGACGACCCGGACCCACAGGGGATTGTTCGGGCTGATGAACACGACAAAAAAGATCGGGAGCTGCGAAGGCCACGTGCGGCAACAGTCATTATGTAATCAATTTCCTTACGTCAGCGACTGGATCACTCGGATCATGGCGATCCAAACAGAACAGATGAAGGATGAAGGAGTACAGTATCAGGCGCACCAGAATTCATAGTGATGCCCTCCGAAGCGTTATATAGTTTTACCGGCTTCATGTTTGTTTTGCCAACAGAGCATAGCGCACCCAGCCTGCCATTATTGTATTTGTATAGACAGCTCGACCTGTTAAATTTTTGTTATATTGCAAATAACCAACGGGAATTAATTTGCCGACTTCCCCTATACAAACACATAACAATTAAGTCATCCGTTATAGTACAGTTAGATCATGTCAATTCCCAGTCTCGCTAGTGTTGTCTGGCTTACAAGTAGTTATATCTGCTGTTAAAACGTGCGCCATCTTTCTGCGTAACCTTTTCGCAAACCTTCAATCTCCCTCACGAGAACCATTCCCAGCGTCTGAGCCGATAATGGCCCTCGCACTTATTGGATACTATGCTTTCTCATCCGCGGCGCAGGTCTCATCCTGCAAAACTATTGATAACTCACTATTCAGTTCCACGGCAAATCCGACAACATATTACCCGATCCAGCCAGCGCCTACTGAGACATATCAATATCCAGAGACTTCGAGTGATACTAGCCAGACATCATCACCATGCGACTCTACCACCACCGTGCCCAGCAGCTTACTAGAGAGCATGTCATCCTCTCCTATACGTAGCTGGCCAGATTCCTATTCACTGACAGTAACGGAATCGATGGAATCATATCCGGTGTCCGAATCTGAGACGACTCAACAGTCCATTTCACACTTGTCTACGACCTCAGAACAGCCTCAGTATTCCGCTGATTATCCCTCTGTGGGCTCCTCATCTACTGCCTACTCATCTACTGTCTACTCATCTACTGTCTACTCATCGACTACCTACTCATCTATTGCCTACTCATCTATTGCCTACTCATCTATTGCCTACTCATCTACTGGTCACTCTACTAGTTATTCCACTGGATCTACGTACGGCTGGAGTTCGTCTTCCTACCTCGTATCCGACCTGTATTCCACCGCTAGTCCTGCAGATCCTTATCCAACCTCTTCGACAGGCTTAGGCACCATATCTTCGTTGAATAGCCATGGTTCATCTACCACGACAGGGAAAGAGCAATCGAGCAAGAGCTCCGGAACGACACCGGATTACCCTACTTCATCTACTGAGAAGTCGTCGGACCAATACAGTAGCACAGAACATTACTCCTCCGCCGCGGAATCAAGTTATGCTACGGCGGTAGAATCAGATAACTACACTATTCTGCCAACAGAGGGCAGTCCTCCGATCGAGACTGCTACAGCCGACACCTCACAATATTATCACGGAACTACAATCGGTCACCCTTATGCACAACTGCCAGATTACTTGCCAGCGCCGACAAGCAACATTCAACCAACCGAGACGCCCTGGAGCAGTCCAACTCAAACGCAATATGCAGAGTATCCGGTGGTGCCCACCTTCACGCCGGAGAGCTTCTCGCGCACAGAAGCACACGGAGATGATTGGTATCCTCTTGTTGGTCCCACTTCAAGCCAAGATTCCTTTTCAAGCATAACGCAGGAGGTCGACGGAAGTAGCAGCCTCGAATATAATACAGGAGGGATAGTTGGAAACGTAAATGAAGGTCATAACACGAGCTCGGACATGGTACGGGCAGATACTACCACGGATAAAGCGTCCATTATGACATCTGCATCACTCCTGGATAGCATTCAACAGACTGAACCCGATTCGTCAGATGCCAACTCAACTGCACGGGCTCAAGCGGCTTTGCAGACCTCCGTCGGCGGAAGTCAACCAATACCAGGTAATGAGCAGAATACCGTGGAGCTAGTAAGTATTTCAGGCCGATGTGGGCCTGTGCATCAGGCAATCTTAATTGCCGCCATCGCGCTGGTCTATCTGTAGGAGCGGGCAAGAGGCCATCGTGGTCAAATGCGATATCCCATCATATGCTCGGCTTAGAGAGAAGACAGGAAATGAACTGCCTTTCCTTAAATGGCGACTAGGGGCGGGTCAACTACACCGATCGTTCACATATATGGATTGGATTGCTTCCGGTGTCCCCCGTAGAATGAAATAGGCAGCCTAGCGCCTTTTAATAATTAGTATTATTTGCCCTTCTAATGTTACATCGCCAGCGTAACTGGGCCCCCTGAAAAGAAAACTACGAAGTGAAGGCATGGCCTAAAGGGTTGAAGGCTCTTAAATCCCCGCCGAAGCTGTCTGCTCCAAATACCCATCTCCGTGAAACATCCAGTCTCATGTCTCTTCTTCCATAGAGTGAACGTCATTTTCTCAAGTGTGATCGTCGTAGGCTTTATTATCTTACCATCTGCGGAACATACTATTTAGAACCCATTAAATCACGACTTTATCCTCTCCGAGCATATTGACTTGTGAACTGCTCTAGTCTCTCTTTACAATCTTCTCCTACGCCAACGTTCCGGTGTCCGTATATCTGTGCGATGTAACGAGCATAATCCACAGTCTCGAACGTGAAAGGCTCTGCTCCATTGCTTAAGAGAAATTTGACGTATTCCCAGTCTAAGAGCCCGACAGCATGAGAGAGCGGGGAAGCAAGGATCTGTCCCCCTAGCGGGATTAGACTGTGTTTAGCGATAAAGGGTGCTCTGTGTACAAGATTTTCTTAGTAAATCGTTATTTACTAGCTAGTCCGCAGCTTACTTACATGTTTACTTTGAGGTTTATATCATGGCCTTCTTTTAGCAATCTCGCCGCCTCTGGAGCGCGAATTTCGAAACTCCTGTTTGTCTCGCCAGGCTGAGCCAAGAGATGTAGGGGACAATGCATCTCTGCTGTCTTCATTTGTGTGATAATTGTTGAGATCTGTTCATTTCGCGACTTAAGCCTTTAGTTAAAATGACGGTGAAGTAAGAGTCTGTCACGCGCGAGAACCTAGCGTATGTTGCTCACAAGGTCAAGTCGAGGATTAGGGGCATGCGGCAAGTGGGCCTTTATATAGGACGGGAATTGCACTGCAAGCGCTCCACATCTGACCGCCTGCGCCACCTAAGGAGGCTGGGACCACGAAAGTGGGACCACACTGCCCAACAGCCACGATTGGCCACCTACGGGGTGCCATTCGCAGTTGGGGCGATTGTGTTCAAGAACCACATGCTTGCGACTTTGCCGCAAAAACATAGCGCGGTAGGAACAACGTTAACTTGTCTTCACGAACTTACCATAGTTTCACATTCACCATGCCAGTCCTTGCCAGTAGAGACCTTATTATATTGCTTTTCAGGCATGGATGATGCGCAGGCTTAGTATGGACGAGCGCTATATTATTTGACGCTGAGATGGGTGATCCCGTATCAAAGAAGGATGCCGTGCCTGTAAAGCAAGCTGCGCTAATGCTCGAAAATTGCACAACACCCAAACAGCTTACGGTACCAAGTCTTCCCAAAGCTAATTATATGCTCCTTGAGCAAACATCTGCCTATTTTTAGCTCGCAACCATTTGTTATTTTCGCTCGTGCATAACGTGGTGGAGTTACCAGACGATCTATTAAGTGATCGCTCGCTCGCAGGAGAAGGTTGTTTCACAATAACTCGAAATTTAACGACAGTTGATAAGATATAATTAGTTTCATCCTCTTATTACCATCGTTTCAATGGGTGTCTTCCATCTGGTAGTGGCCGCTGCTATCTTGAACCATTTCGTAGCCAGTGGGCAGACGTATCCGTCATGCATCAACCTAGTACAATATCAGCATGGGTCTTGCTGTCTTCCTAACAAACCCTGTCCATTCGGCAACGACACCAGCACAAGTAGTATCGAGTCACAAACAGATATGAGCTCGATGACGACAAGTCTCATAACAACTACTCTCTCGAGCGAAGGACTCCAGTCCACGTCCGTGAGCGATTCAGTATCGGCGACTGCTGCCCCTGTACTGACCTCCAGTGCCTCATTCCCGACCACTATGCTCTCTACCACCCTTTCAACTATTAGTCAAACAATTACTAGCCTACCTGCTGACGCAACGTTGGAAACACTCACCGGAGGCTTCACGGACGGCACTATCATAACTACCACAACTTATGGTAGTAATGAGTCTATTGCGGTACCCGTCATTGTGCCTGCCGGCGGCAGTCCCTTGATTGTAAGCTTACACTGGAGGAGCTCAGTTTGTAAGCCACTTACGTTGTTAACAGATGTAACTTCCTAGTGTTGGAATTGCTTGCCAACCTTTCCGGCAAATGTGGAAATAAAGTTGCCAGGGATTTGCTTCAGAATCCAGGGCTTCCTAATTCGCAACTGCTTCGACGTTGACGTTCCTACCAATCTACCTATCGATCAGACACAAATCCCCGACACTAGCCCAACATCCACTTCTTCGTGCCAGGGCCATCCTTTAGCAACGTATTATAGTGTAGTCTGCTCCACAACCGCCGGCATTTCGACCTCGAAGCCTAGTCCCTCATGTTCGACATACTCTTATAGTACGACAGTGGGTTGTGATGTGCCTACAGTATCAACCACCACAACCTATGTTCCGGCGCAAACACAACCTGTGCTATGCGGCCCTGAGACATGCGGTGAAAGTTGTGTCAGCGCAAGAGCTGGGCTTGCGAAGCGCCAACCACCTTTGAGAGATTCTGAGCCGCCAAGCACCGAATGGGCAGGGCCTCAGAATTACAATGGGGACATGAACAAATTCATGAGAGGAGGTAAGCTAGGAGAGATTCTTCAATCCTCATCCATGCTAATACGGAATGATAGAGGTGGCAAAGGCCTTACTTGACCCTGGAACTTATGTACCTCATGGCTTCGGCGAAGGTGGGATTTGGACCACATCAAACTGGATCACTTTCAAAAACGAAGTTAGGGCTCTTACTGTCCAGGGTCTATATGGCTGCACCTCAATTGTGGCTGTATCGACCCGCGGGGCATGGGCCAGCCATATTTGGGAGAACCCATCATTTAAAGATGACTCTCGTTTTGAGATCGATGCCATTGAGGACATTCGCTTTGGTAAAAATGTCAAAAATCTCCATGAGATCGGCCTGTACCAACTGCGAGATAACGTCTTCCTTCAGCCCGAGGAGAACTTATTTGACGATGTTGCTGATCCGCATATCTATATCATGACACCGATACAGAGATATCGTGTCATGGAGGGAGAACAGCAAGTTTGGAGCAACGATGAAGAGACTCGTGGACACCCTCTTGCCTTTCCGGATAAAGTCGCCAGAATAATATCGGAGCTGAGAAGCATATTTAACGAAACGACGCCAATAATTGTTAAACCTTATTCGCCCATGACAAAAGCTCCAGATATCCTCCGAGAGATAGATGGGAGCCCTATCTTGGACGTTTACGGAAGGGAACAGCCTGATCGTGGTGATATCGGTTTCAACACCCACCGCGGGAAACTACTCGTCCAGTATCAGCCAGCATCAAAACGATGTCATATAGAGGGTACTGGTAGTCCCCAAGCTCAATGGCGAATATGGTTTGAGAATCAAGGTGAAACTTCCTGTCCGAACTCCCTTAGCGATACGCGCTGAAACAGTATACAGAACTCAATAGCGAGCATGCAGCTTGGACCCCTTTCCCGGAGCAATTCTGGAGGCGTCAAGATAACTGTGCCATATACGAAACCAGCACCGCGGTACTTCAATCTTCAGAGACAACGCCATCGCAAACACTAAGCACACAGCCAGAACAGTATATATCCTTACAGCCACCCAAAGCGTCATCATCCGGAGAATCTCCGAGCTCTGGACTGACCGAGGCGGTTCCAACAAGCGCAGCAGTGTCAGACCTCACGAGCAGCGTGTCTGAGCAAATTAACACGATGAGCAGTGCCTCTCCCACGCCGCCATCCCCGGAACCTAGCATTGTCCCCCCACAATCCCCACCGGCGCCAATGATGAGAGGCTCAGTCATGTGCCACGAGCCAGGTGACTTCCCCGGTCACGCGGACATTAATGCAGATGAGCAGAATAATTTTTCAACAGAATTTTCCAGTAACTCGAACTCAGAGCTGTCACCAACTTCACCAGCGATCTTTCAACAGTTCCGTGGTCTGTATGGAATCAGCTATGAATACGAAGCCCGCTGGATTGAAGGTTGCCGAACAGATGTCTCATCTCAATTATTTCAATATCCTCTCGGATACCCCACGACTATCACGGCCTATCTCATAGTGCGCGAGAACTATACCAAGTGTTAGTCAGGCCACTATACTTTTGTGTGCCGACATTCTATTGACTATGTTTACTATCCAGGCAACAATGGGGGCATTGGAGGCTGGACACAAGTAGGCTGTCTTAAGTATACGTTTTGGGGCGCGAGGTAGCTTAGGTGTTTCCCCGGGACGCCAGAAAAAGTCCATCAGTGGGGCCTTCTGTCGGCTGTTATGCTATCATGCCTGCAGATGACTCCAGAGGTGGAGAATCACTTGAAGCCTACCATAAACTAGCGCTCAGTAGTACGCGATGTTGAAATTCGCCATGTTTCCACCTCGCTGGAAAGTATAACGAACCGTTACTATGAGCGACCTTCTCAGCTTTTATTTCACCGATCTTGCCTTATGATGATATGGAAGGTATTGATCTTTGTCGGCAAAGGTGACAGCAAGGACACCCTGTGAAATGGCAATCTTCAACAATATATACCAAGTCTTGATAGATAGCTGGTATGTCTCTCACACACGTCAAGTGTTTCGTCACCCTTCTGGTCGTGCTTCCTGTGGTAGGAGGTGCACCCTGCCTGCGCCCCCCTTCCTCTCCGCTCGAAGCGAGTTGTCAAGCGAAGCAGTTGATTAAGCAGAAAAGGCTTCATCTAATGCTACAGAATGGCTCTGCACCTCAAGTCTCCTAAACATGATTTGTTTGTCCAAGTTGCCCAGATATGCGAACGAGTTGGGGTCTGAATTCGATGCAACCTCCAATAATGGTCACCAGAACTCGAAAAGTCGCTGCACAAACGACGCGAGTACGTGGTATTTGGCAGCATATCTTACCCGTTTGCTGGTCCGCTCCTGAATTTCTGTGGGTCGCTTTTCACATGATGGTGTACTTTTCCCTGGGTTGGTTTCGCTCACCCCCGACAGCGCAATCGTGAGATTTCTACAAAATTCTGACCCTGCAAACAGCCTGATAAAAATAGAATCATAAGCTTGGAACCAATTCTGCTTTTTGCTGCTATAGCTCAAAGCCCACGACGGTGCACTCTCATGGCGCTGACGTGCCCATGTAGCTGCAGAAGCTATTGGGCGTCAAAGCCCTAGCATCCTTACCGTCTACTCTGGTGTCACGTCTCATTTTCCCACGCCAAAGTAGCGTCTATGGCAATTCAGGTCTAACGAATAGTAACATTATAGTTATGCCGTACTCCGTTTCACTTTTCTGGATGCCGAAACGCCGCGCAGCCTAAGCACACAGGGGCAAGGTTTCCCGGACGACTGACCCCATTCAACCGCTACGTGCACGATGCAGCGGTACCCGACAGCCTGGTGCGCTGAGGCTCCAGGAAAGAGCTTGAACAAGAAACATATAGTATCACATGCAGACACCAGACCATTGCGCAGCAAATCAAGCCTCGCGGAGCACTGCGGAACGGCAGCGCACCATGGCCAGGCCACTGCGCCTCTCAACCCTCTACTCAGTGCGAGAAGCGTCGCTACCGACCTCGCCTCTACCTGCAAACACCGTTGGAAGGCCTTGTCACTTGCTCTGGAGGGGAGTATTGGGACGCTCGGGAGCGACTGGCCCTGCATAGTGAGTGGTGACATGCAGGGATATCATTTCCGTCTTCTGCTCTTTGGCGGACATCAACGACAGTGCTGCTCCATTATGTGGTCGCGCAAGAACCACTGAAGGGTTGCTCATAATGATGAAGTGGGAGGAACTCAAAATCAGGTTCGTTGAAGGCCTCTGCTCAAGATATGCGCGTCCCTGGTCAGGAGGCCGGTGGAGCCATCCAGGGTCTTGCTCTGAGGAGAGGCTGGTGGCGTTTCGATCTCCATTACCGCCGCTCAAGCACGGGTGGAAGTAGACTTGTGCTCACAAGTAAGCACGTTCATTCGCATGCCGGGATTTCAATCCCGACTCGTCGATATACTACAAGACACATATTCATTCTCGGCGAGAAAGAGGTACTCGCATACGGCAAGCAAGCGATGAATCTACCCAGAACGGCCGGCTAACGATCGTGCATATAACATACATTTCACTATGAAAGAATGCCTGCCTAGTTTTCTCGAACAATTTATTAATGGTAGCTCAAACTACAACCAGGATCTAGCGGGACGGGCACATTCCTATTGAGCAGAATGTACTATAATAGGCTGCACTAGTAAATGGGGCCCAAAGGTACAGGGGCGCCGTGCTAGAGAAGCTAAATGGTATTGTCTTCGGCAACACCCAGTCTAAAAGTAGCTGACCAGCAACCCCCTCACTAGAATATCTATGACTGAAGAATTCTTTGAGGCTAACGAGATCCCTCTGGTCGCTCGATAGGCAGAGCACCATTCCCTACGTCTACACGGCCTGAGTAACCCGGCACAACAGTGGCTTTTTCAGCCACAACGCGTGAGCCTTCTGATCCGCCCAGGCCTTGCTCTCCTCACAAAGTTCAAAGTCGAACCGCAGGAGGAGCGCTGCAAGGATGAGCCTGGCCTCATGATGCGCCATACTCTGCCCAATGCAATTCCTCGGGCCTACCGAGAAAGGCTGCAGTGCTTCACCTTTATCGCCAGCGAATTTGCCCGTCGTGTCAGCCTCGGCATGGTCCGCATTCAGCCATCGCTCTGGGGCAAACGTGTCTGGATCGGCGAAGTTAATCTCTGAGCGGTAAGCGGCGTACGGGGAGACGACCACGCGGGTGCCCCCAGAAACCCATCGACCCTCGATAGAATGACCATCTCCTGGCACAAGTCGAGGAGAGCCAGCAGGTCCCGGTGGGTACATGCGCAACGCTTCTTTGATGCATGCGCGAAGGTACTCAAGTTTACTTAGACTGTCAAAGGTGATATCGTCCATGGTACTATACGCGGTGCGGATCTCTTGGACCAGTAACTGAAGCTTTTTCTGGTTGAGGCAGAGATAATACAGAAGGCCGGCAAGAAGTGTGGCTGTTGTTTGTGAACCATCGCATCAGATATAGTGTCTCATTTCACCGTGCTTTCGGACGACGGTAGGGAAGGGAGTGATCTTACCTGTGGTTTCGGTGCCTGCAAGCATAAACACTTCGGCATTCGAATGCATTTCATCGAGGCTAAGACCATCCCCCGAGTCTCGAGTCTTGATTATCAGATTCCAGAAATCAGGCTTCTCTGTGCCCTCTTTCAGTCTTTGGTCTACTCTATCAGCGGAGTGTTTGAAATGAGTCGACTTCATGTCTCGAAGCCATCTTGGCTCAAGCCTTCGCACCACGTAACCGAGGATAGGATAGTAGTCAACAAGCATTGAAACGTGTAGCATCCTGATCATGTCGAAGATGGCAGAGACCCAGGGACTCCACTGGTTTCTTGATAGCAGCTCCAGTGGGTGCCCAAAGCATAAGTCTGCCATAATGTCGAACGTAGTAAAGGTCAGGAAACGAGTCATCTCAAGCTTCTCCCCGGCCTTCAGATCGTTCTCCATTGTCTCTAGCAGGAGTTTGGTACTAGCGGGATAAACTTTAGCCAAGGCCCACTATACTGGCACGCTCTAGAAAAGAGAGAACTGACTACTTTTGAAAGAGAGGTTCCTGCTGACGGAGCGCACGTTCGGAGAACGCCGGAGAAAAGATGCGTCGAACTCGCGCATGATTTTCGTCGTCACACGTCAGAATGCTCGGCACTCCTGTGACTGCTGCTTAGCTACAAGCATACATGACCGAGCTTCTTATTCGATAGGATGTCCACTTACCATTCCATGGCTTGATTGCAAAGTCTTCCGTCCTAGGAAGTGTCGGCCTGCCATTGGGACGGCCGTAGATGTCCCTCCACGACTGCGCAGATAGATAACTTAAATCGTTCGGACCATAGCGTACCACTGGTCCGTAGTAGCGATGGAGTTGGTGGATCCACTGGACGTCAGTACCTTGAAAGACCTGGATCCAGAACGGAAGGCGACTAAAAGCGCACAGAGACGGACCCGGGAAGCCAGCCAGAGGATGTCCCGTTAATGCGTAGGTTGCATTCACAGTGAGATACCCGAGACACCCCAATGCCGCGAGCGCGCCAGTGGCCATCCACGACGACCAAACACTTTGGAGAAGATGCGCTACGGAAGTAGAATCCATCTTCGCGAGCGCGTGGCTCAGGGCTAAGGGCGAGTTGTACAGCAAGTATGAAACGCTGATGAACGTTCGAAGACGTGTGTTCAGAGACGTTCTTTGTAAGTAATCTTCGATGTTGTAGACGAACCGAAATGGAGATATTGAGGAGTTTCCAGAGGTCGGATGGGTGACTACTGTATACAACCAATACCGTTCAAGGTAACACTGTTTGTAAGGATATTTCCCTTACACAAACAAACAATTGATCCATGCTAAATCACAAATACGAAGTGTCTTCACGTTGACAGTCCGTCACACCAGGTTAATCGGTGGAGAAGTAGGCGGTTGCTAATTGGAAGTGACCAAACAATATAACAAGTCGTGCATCATCTCTGCCACGATGTCTAAAGTCAAGTTGGCATATCAATTTCATTGACCAGAGAAATCACCTCGTTGCCGCTGTGACGATGTCCTCAGAACGCCGATTTTTCTTTCTTCAGGACTCCTTGCCTGCCACATACATCGACAGCCTTCTGGCTCGCGTCGTGAAGTCAAAGACGTCTCCCCCGGACTGCTTTGCACCGCACCAGGCGTGCCACCTCATAACACAAACGACATTATCCTCTCCATTCTCCCGGAGCCAAATACCTCTTCCCAGCCCGTCAATCGCGGCGTAATTACACCCCAGCGGGGCATAAATGGCCAGCTAAGTATACTCTGCAAGGCCGAGCTGCATAAATATAAGGAGCAGTCTCTCTCGCTCGAGTGCGACAAGTTGAGACGTTATACTATCCCAAACCCCAACCTCGTCTTCCAAAGACTTATGGCGAACGAGCATTACAAGACTGATGTTCACTTGGGTCCTCGCCCTGGCACGGCCACGGTGCGCCTACATGATCACCAGCTTTCTCGTCGCTGTCAACCCAAAACTGACCACAAAATTGAAGACAGAACGAGGCGACGTGGCCAGTGCCTCATCCTCAAATAGCCAATATCGAGAGTGGACAACAGTGGGTGGGGCAGTTATTGCTTTGTCGTACTCCCCTGTAAAAGTCTCTTACTCGTTCAGCATGACGACATAGTTTATGACGAAAAAGTTCAATATCGGTGACCCAATGCGTCCGAAGCCTCATCATATGTCCATGGAGGGATGAGAACGAGGAGTTTATGACTATGAGGACTGGGCTGCGCTCGCAGCTCTTCCTATCGGCCGCGTAAAGGTGGTGTTATTGATAGCGGGGAGGAAGCCGACACGCCTGCCCGCGTGCTTCCTACGCAAAGCCATCTTGCACCCATCCAACAGGCTGGTGTCGCGTTTGACACAGCGGACACGTGGCGCCTTGGTCCCTCAGATACCATTCAGCCTTCACAAGAAATGTATCGAGATCGGCGGAGTCCTTAAGCATGATCCTCGACGAGTTAAACCTTGAGGGTCAAGAGGATGTGCTATCTTGTTCGCTCGGCGCGAAGGAGTTGTCTCCCAAGTGATTGAAAACGAACTTCCCAGATCTCATAGCAATTGGCTGTGTCATGTCGCGAAAACCAACATTCTGGTTAATAGTATCCTAAGGACCTATTCTATAATAATATCTAAATGTTATCGCGAGTCTCATTCCTCCCTAGTATGATCATTTTGGTTGTCAACGAAATGGATAATGGTCCATGAGGAGCAGTAAAACCGTAAGCTTTAGTGTGAACGCTCGCGGCACCCACTTAGTCATGCCCTTGGGTATAATAAGGACCAAGGGAATTTTGGGTTTGAATCTAGCGCTTCCGTGCATATGGATGGGTCCTACCTCCAGACGAGTCCATGTTTGGCAGACGTGTGGCACCGCAAGATTGAAATGTAGAGAGTATCGGCGGTGGTAGGAGGTTCAAGACCAGTGGAGCTCGGTATGAGACGAGCGCAGGGGATGCATAGCCTGACTGAACTTGTCAAACTATATGAAGTGTTTCGCAGTCATATCCGAGGCGGGAAAAACTCGAGATCATGGGTGCAGCCATTGTAGCTCTTGATGCCTGAAGCGCCAGAAGGAGGGTGGCAGCCACATGTGGCTGCCTGCGCCACTCATGTATGATAAACTGATAGCGCGTCGGGGTAGGTCGCTGCAAGGCAGCTGCAGGTGGCATCACCACTTGACCTGCTATTATTTGACCCCACGCGCGCGCATCAATATCTATCTTGATCACAACAATATATGCTATTTGCTTCGGATTACTGTTTGAAACTGCCATGTACAGGTCTCCTGCCCGCTGTACCTGACGTTCAAGTGCTGTGCTGGCCGCTTTATCAGTTATCGAGGCCCATAGAGAATGCGGGAGAGCCGGCTCCAGATGGAGGGCCTGCGATACTGATTGGCGCCATCGCGAGGCTCCGCACAGTCCTCCTCAGCCTTCGGGGACTTTTCGCTGCCAAGATAGTACACCCCTTGCACGAAACCCTGTCTCAGCTGCATCTCCAATGCCTTATGGCTGGAGAGCAGTCTCTCAGCAGTGATCCGGACATCACTGTTCGCCTGATCCAGCGTCAAAGCAGCGAGGGTCCAGCTAAACTTAATTCGTCCATGCTTATCATACAAGTCCCCATGCGTCATGAGCGACGCCCAGCTGTCGACAACCTCTTTTGCCCTCTGCTCGCTGACCCTGAACCACTCGGTATGCCCTTTGCCACAGCCCGCGCACTGGGGCTCCTTGTGACGCTCCCACGCCAGCTCCTCTTTCGCGAGCGTCTTTGCGCGCTGGGTGTATTTGAAGACGTCTGTACTGTGCACGAGGATAGGGCGGTAGCCGCACTTCCTGCACCAATCGTTGAGGCGTTGCTGGATTGGGTTCATGGTCCATCCGATCTTGACGTAGCCCGGGGATGAGGCGCGCCGGAACACGTACAAGCGGCCAGGTTTAAAGTCTCGCTTATCGAGTG